TCTTTCTCTACCATCTTCTCCCGTTTCTCTCCCCACCTTTGCCCTCTGCCCTGAATAAACCCTCTCCTCTTTGGAACCGTTTGGTCTGGTGTTGTCTGTTCTAATCTGCGAGCCAAAGTCTAACAAGGGCTACACAGAGAAACCCTGTCTCAAAAACCAGAAAACAAAACAAAGCCCAGCAATTACAACCCAGGACACACCAGAATGCAGTCAGACCTGGCAGGCTCCTCACAGGGCCCAGCGTTACACATGGTAACACTTCAGCAACAGCAGGGTCTTGTTGCACACACATATTGTCTCGTAATCTCCACTTCACATTTCCCATGGCAAAAAGCCATAGCCAACCTACTGACAACTAAATTAATGACCACTGGCATGCCTTAATAATAACTGAACAATTGTGTGAATGTTGTATGATTGGATATTTTTGTCAATCTTGCACTGTTTACTATCCCAATGCTGTATGAGTACAGTTGAATACATTGTTTTCTCAGATTTGTGATGGTTTCATAATATTCAGGGTAAGTGCCCAGAGTGCTGTTCAAAGATATAGACCCTGAAGTTTGCAAAATCACTTTGTAGAGGAACCACACTGACCTTTAAAGGCCTAACACTGAGTTTAAGAACCAAGAGCCTAAAAACAAAACAAAAAACAAACAAACAAAGAACAAAGGGCCTGAACATTAGGAATAGAGAAGGCTCTTCTAATTCATCAGCTGATGGCATCTGGACTTCTTACTGTGGGTTAATTCTTTCATTACCTTATTTGCCCACAAAGGAAACAAAATAGAATTAAAGTCTCTGGTGGTTCTGGCAGAGGCCCTGGGGACTGCTGAGCCAGTGAAGAGAGTTCATGTGCACAGTTGCTGCACACATTTGCATGACAGTAGAGGACCAACTCCTGACTGGAGGGATTGCAGGTACCATCACTTTGAAGTACCTCTTGCCAAGGGGTCTAGTTTGAAATCTGTCATGCCCCTTAAGTCATGGGAAGCCCAGACAGCGTATCTCACTTGAATCACAAGTCTGTTTTCCATTTGCACATGCATCCCACCGCTGGCATATATATATATATATATATATATATATATATATATATATATATATATGTGATAAGACCATTGTTATTGAGATGAAGCCTAATTAAATTAAATCACTTGTTTTTAGAGCATGCCTTGTTGAGAGAACATCTGCTTCCTGCAAACAGTGCAGTGTTTTGTTATGGGTGCCTGGAGGGCTCCTCAAATGGAATTCTCAAAAATTCTGTATTCTACTGACATCTAGTGGACATAAAGTAACTTCCAAACATGAAAATAAAGAGCCGAGACAGCTGACCACTGACATTGCCTAAAACACAACAGCCCACCACTGTAAAGTCAGTACTTGCTATACAGGTGAAAGGACTTCAGCACATCCCTTTCTATCTTGTGTGTGTACATGTGTACATGGTTGTGTGTGTGCTCATGTTGTACATGATCATGTGGAGGCCAGAGGTCAACCTTAGATGTTGTCATCAATTGTTCTGCACCTTATTTTTTTGAGACAGGCTCTGTCACCAACGCTGGATTTCACTGATTCTGCTAGACTGGCTGACCAGTGAGTTCCACCTTTTCTCTGTGCCCCCATTATACACACACACATACACACACACACACACACACACACACACACACACACACCAGTGCTGGGCTTACAGGCAAGCAAGAACTTTACCAACTCAATTGTCTGCCAGCTCCTTCTGGGTGTATGAAGAGGTTGGAGGGAAGAAAGCAAGGAGGTAAACGTTATAACTAAATTATAATCTCGAAACAATGAAAGAAATAATTTTAAATAAAAAAGAATTTAAAAATTGGCCGGGCAGTGGTGGCGCACGCCTTTAATCTCAGCACTTGGGAGGCAGAGGCAGGTGGATTTCTGAGTTGGAGGCCAGTATGGTCTACAGAGTGAGTTCCAGGACAGCCAGGGCTACACAGAGAAACCCTGTCTCGAAAAACCACGAAAAAAAAAAAAAAAGAATTTAAAAATTGAAAGAGTCATGTATTGTTTTCCGTGCATTCTCTCTGCCTTCTGCTTGCAGACCAAGATGTGAGCTCTCAGCTATTCCTGGCATCAAGCCTCTGCTCACTCATCATGGACCCTGACCCTGTGGAACTGTAAACCCACCACAAACCCTTCCTTCTATATGTTGTTTTGGTCCTGGTATTTTATCACAGCAAAAGAAAAGTAACTAATACATTTGAACTATTTTTAACTCTTCTATAAATAGCAAATAATTTAATAAAATTTCTAAGAATATTTAAAGCTGCTCCAGTAAGCTATCCATAGACCTAATATAAAGGCAAACTAATATGGTACTGAAATGTGTATGACTCTAGTAATTTCATATCATATGACTCACAGTATTCAAGATTTGTCTCATTATAAAATCACTGAACCTTTAGGTTGGTTTCCTGGTGCAATTCAATACATTTTTTATTTAAAGCAAGTGTGCATGAACCACGAGTCAGTTACACAGACCCTGTTGTACCTTAGACTGCTGTGGATCTCCACCCAGCCCAGTTTCCACGACATATGAAGCAAAAGTCCACCAATGAACGTCTGCCACCTGGAAAGGATGAATGTCAAGATGAGTAACTCCAGGCCTACAGAGTCCAGCTCTATCCAGTCATGACAGACCTGCTGACATAACTAATACATACTTCCAACCCTTCCCCTCTTCTCTCCCATTTTCCCTCAGATGACTCCAGCTCTCCAGTAAGCTGACATTCTTACTCACCTGTTCCACTTCTAGACATCTCCTGAACAACCTGATTCATAGCCCAGATGGGTGACTTCCAGATCCTCATTCTTACCTAGATCTACCCTGAAACCCCATAAGCTCCCGATTATGTCATATGCAAAATGCCACTTTAGACATGGCCAACCATGAGCATGGTCCTACTGTCCTTACAGCCAACTGAGACATGGTCTCAACCATCCTTCCTAGCCCTTCCTCAGCTACTTGGCAAAGTCCTCGTGATTGTATTTAGCCCCATAGTATCTGCATCCAAAGCCACCGCCCTAGCTGCTGTTGTCATTTGGTCTTTTTTGCAGCTGGTCCTTAGCTTAGTTCTAAAATGAGTCCCCAGGGTTGTCGACACCATTCATTCTCTATCTTGTAGCAATTTTTTTTCTAAGCTGCTAATTAAATCATGCCACGTATTTTACAAATTGTTGATTCTTCTTCAGCCCTCAGCCTCTTCCCAGCCATGTAGATATACTACCCGCACCCTAGGGCCATGAAGCTCACTAGGAACACTGTGCTCTTAGCTACAGTATATGTATATGTGTTCTTATATACAATAGGAGAGAGTGTAGGTTAGCAACACCCTTCCTCTCCTACTAATCCCAACATTTCCTAATCCCAACACTTGAGGGGCTGAATCAAGAGGACTGTGAGGAAGTGAAGAGATGGCTCAGCACACACGACAGAAACACACACACGTATAAAAATAAACCTTAAAAGGGGTCAAGGGATTGTGAACTCAAGGCCATCTCTTGGAGGTGACAGAGGAGTGACAGTTTCGAGTATTCTCTTTAGTGATGTTTCTTATCCAAGTAATATTCAGCTCCCAGAGCTACCAGGGTGAGTGCAGGAATCACCCTGATCCCTTTACGGAACACTGTCATGAAGGAGCCACAGGTTTCTAAGCCACCCATGTACCTCAAAGATTCGCCATGGGTTCTAAGATCCCTCAGTCCTCATGTAGCTAATCTCTCCCTGACAGTTTCTAATGGTGTCCTTTCTATGTCCCACTGGCCGCATATGGAAGTCCCAATTACTGTGATCATGGCCATGTTCACACCCATGTCCAGGGGTCACATCTGACAGCAATCTGCCCTCTCAGGACACTCTGTTTAGCCACTTTTATATTTTACATGATTCATCCATACGTTTAAGACCTTACGTTTAGTCACAAATGACATGAGAGACCTCACCTCAGAAGTGACTGTAACACACCCATGTGTTGTGATATTATACCAAGAACCCCTGGCCTCCAGGACAAAGTCTCTTATATGCAATTCAAAGCCTCTGACTTAAGCTAGCCCGTCCCCAGGATAAACTCTCTCTCCCTCCCTTGGGGATTCCCAAAGCATACAACATGCAACCTTAAAATGGGCCAGGCCAATTCCTCTTCTTGGAATTTGTACACACTGTCCACATTCTCTATAATGTACCCACCCCATCCCCTAATGCATTAGAAGACAACTGGTCAGTAGTAAGTCCTAGTGTTTCACTGGTCCACGTGTTCACAGGCCAACAGAGCAGGCCTCCTGAATCCACCTGCTCTAGAACAGAGGTGTAAACCTGGTCAGTTTCCCCCAAAGAGACATGTAGTAGTGCTTGGAGACTTTTTGAAAATATATCTATTTAATTTTATGTGCGCAGGTGTTTTTGTCTTCATGTCTGTGTACCACGTGTGTGCAGTACCTGTGGAAGCAAGGAGTGGGTGTCAGATCCTCTGGAATTGGAATTATAGACAGTTATGAGACATCATGTGGGTGCTCAGGTCTTCCATGAGAGCAGCTAGTGCTCTTGACCATGGAGCCATTTCTCCATCCCCCAAACACTTCTAAAGAGAAGCATCAGGATGTGTTCTATACATATATAAATGGCATAATGCCTTAAAAAAAGTCAACAGCTCTTCTCCCTAAAAAATTAATAAAAGAATACTCCAAAAAAGACCATAGAAGACTAACTATACATTGCTTTAAGGATCCAAAGGCAAAAAGATTACACAATCAATGAGCATATTACAAATTGGGTAACTGTAAGTGTAATTTTTATTCTCCTGTATTGTTATCTCAGAGGCTTACTGTTTCTATCTGCTAACCTAGGCCTAGTCCTGGAAGCTTCTAGCCTCCACAATCATATCTAGGCCTAGAATGTTTTCAGCCTCTGAGACTTACTGCTGAATAAGCTCACACTTTCTTGGTTTTTTGTGAACTCTAGCTGGCTGGTTCAACTCAGCTGCTCTGGCACAAAACTCCTCTTCAAGCTCACTGATTTAATCTGGCTTCTCTTGGCCTCTGACTGAATTGCTCTGTTCCACCTCCTAGTAACTTTGGCAATCTGTTCTAATCTTCTGGCTTCTTCTCATTCTCTGGCTTGTTCTGTCTTCATGCCTAGCTTGTTCTCTCTCTGCAACCTGTCTATAACTGTCATGGTAAAACTCTCTCTCTCTCTCTCTCTCTCTCTCTCTCTCTCTCTCTGTCTGTCTCTGTCTCTGTCTCTGTCTCTGTCTCCTGCTCTCTTAAGTGAGAGTTGGACATATCCTATTCTGTCAAATTTCTCTGATTCATCACTTTGTCTGCCACTCAGTTAGACATCACTTTCAAGCATAGGTGCTTCCTTCTATAAGCTAAGAAATTAAAAGGTAATTTTAAAGAATTAAAAACAAATTACAGCCAGGTGGTGGTGGCGCACACCTTTAATCCCAGCACTTGGGAGGCAGAGGCAAGCAGATTTCTGAGTTCCAGGCCAGCCTGGTCTACCGAGAGAGTTCCAGGACAGCCAGGGCTACACAGAAAAAACCTGTCTTGAAAAACAAAAACAAAAACAAAAAATTACAAAAAAAGTTCCAATAAACGTAGTTGTAATGTGTCAGTTCCCTTTTCTTTTATTTGGGGCAAGTGTGGTACTAAAGAGGGGCCAGAGAGAGCATCAGAATCCCTGGACCTGAAGTTACAAATAGTCTCAAGTTATCTGACATGGATGCTGGGAGCCAAATTCTGGTCCTCACAAACACCCTTAGCCATTTTACTTCTCCAGCCCCTAATGGTTATATCCTTAAAATGTAAAAAACATACTGAAGTCAGGCCTGGGGGCTGAGGCCTGTGATCCCAGGCCTGGGGGCTGAAGCCTGTGATCCCAGCTACTGGGAAGGTTGAGGCCTGTGATCCCAGCTACTGGGAAGGCTGAGGCAAGAAGATCACAAATTCAAAGCGTGCCTGGGCTACAGAGTGAGTTAAAATCCAGCTTTTGTCTTAAAAGCAATTTTTTTAAGGGCAGGTGATATAGCTAAGCAGTACAGCAAATCCTTAGCAGGTTCGGATCCTATGCTCAATCCCCAGTACTAAGACCAAATGCATCAAATAAATAAGAAAAATGCTAAACTTGCAGTGAAAATAAGTGGGTAAAAGGCACAAAAAAGAAAATTCACCAAGCCAGGCGGTGGTGGCGCACGCCTTTAATCCCAGCACTTGGGAGGTAGAGGCAGGCGGATTTCTGAGCTCGAGGCCAGCCTGGTCTACAGAGTGAGTTCCAGGACAGCCAGGGCTACACAGAGAAACCCTGTCTCGAAAAACCAAACCAAAAAAAAAAAAAAAGAAAAAAAAAGAAAATTCACCAAAAAGAGGTCTGAACAGAGAAGCACAAGAAAACCACCTGCTTTTAGGAATTAGCTACACTGTGAATTATTATTTGCTTATGAAATTTGCAGAAAGGGAAAAAAAGGAGTCATAGTTTGGATATGCATACAGAGTTAAAAGATAAACTGAGGGTGGAGAAATAGCTCAGCAGCCAGGAGCACTGACCAATCTTCTGCAGCTCAGTTCCCAGCACCCACACGGCAACTCACAACAGGCTCTAACTCTAGCTCCAGGAGATCCAACACCCTCTTCTGAACTCTGGGGGCACCAAGTACATAGTGTACATACATATACATACATACATACATACATACATACATACATACATACAGGCAAAGCATTAATACATATAAAACAAATCAAATATTTTTTTAAAAAAGGGTAAAGTATTTTTTAAAGTGATATATTGCCAGGCAGTGGTGGCACATGCCTTTAATCCAAGCACTCAAGAGACAATGGCAGGCAGATCTCTGTAAGTTTGAAGCCAGCCTGCTCCAGGACAGCCAGAACTATGTAGAGAGACCCTGTCTCAAGACGGAAAAAGAAAGAAAAGAAAGAAGGAAGGGAGGAAGGGAGGGAGGGAGGGAGGGAGGGAGGAAAGAAGGAAGGAAGGAAGGAAGGAAGGAAGGAAGGAAGGAAGGAAGGAAGGAAGGAAGGCAAGCAAGCTAGCTAAATAAATTTTTTTTTGTCAAATTTAAGCAAGAATATCCAAGAAGTCATTCAGTTTGATCAGTTCAAAAACGAAAATGTGTGGTGCTTTTATGCTTCCTAAGTGAGACATGATTTAACGCATACTAACAAAATGGATGAACTATAGTATCTCCTGTTGATGATAAGACTGTGTAGTTACTAAAACTTTCAGAGAACATTTTGAGGCACTGTTTGAACATTTCCTACAAATGCATATGAAGGCTGCTAAAGATATTTGCTCTGGAAGCTAGAGAGATGGCTCAATAGTTAAGAGCACACGCGGCTCCTGCAGAGAACCAGAGTTCAGTTCCCAGCAGCCTTGCATGTGAGACAGCTCACAAGTGCCTGTAACTCCAGCTACAATGCCCTCTTCTGGCCTCTATGGGCCCTTCATTCATATGTCATATACATATACACAGAAACAAACAAATTTTAAAGAACAAAATCTGAGGAAAAAAAAGATACTCACCCTTGGAATAATGTAGGGTAGGTAAATTTCAGGACAGACAGGACATACTGAAAAACAAATACCAGATTAATGGACATTCTGAATGACAGAGAATTGATAAAGCATGTAATATTCCTATTGAAGATTATGAGTATGTCAAATATCTTAAGGGCTTCATTCCCCGAAATCATGACTAGCAAAAGTTATACTGAAGAGCAACTCAGCTGAAGTAAGTTTATATTTTTGTTTTGTTACTGTTTGCTTGTTTGTTGTTAAGACAGGATCTTGTCTGTAGCCCAGGCTGGCCTAAAACTTGCTATGAAACCCAGGCTCCCAGTTATCCTTTGCCCTTGGCCTCCTAAGTGTCAGAATTACAGGTATGTGCAACCAAATTCTAATTTAATTTGTACTTATAGTAACTCTTTCTTTTTAAATTCGTTGTGTAAAATCCATTGATATAATGTATGTGCACACATCCATCTGAATGAGTGTGGGAGCAGGCACAGCTTCGTGTGGAGGCGTTAGTTTGCCTCCACCTTGCTTGTGATATGCTCTTGTTATCCACCATTGCATGGGCCAGGCCAGCTAACCCAGGAGCTCCCGGACAGCACCTCTCTGCTCCTCATTTTGCCATAGGAGTACAGACACACACTATTACGTCAGGCTTTTAAGTGGCTTCAGGGGATCTGAATGCAGGTCCTCATACTTCAGAGGCAATCATGTTTACCTGAGTCTCTCCCCAGCCTTTCTAGTAAGTCTTTTAATCAAATTTATAGAGCTTTATAATGGAGGAATTGTATTTTGTCTTTGAAGACATCTTTTTGTATTATGAACATTTTAAGCTTATTTATTTATTATGTATTTATTTATTCATTCACTCTTGTCTAAAGCCATTAAATACTTTAGAAAAGAACTCTGTTAATTCTCCACATTGTCCAAAAAAAAAAAAAAAAAAAAAAAAAAAGGCAGAGTTAAGCCAGGTGCGATGGCACACACCTTCAACACCAGTGCTTGGGAGGCAGAGGCAGAGGCATCTCTGTTAGTTCAAGGCCAGCCTGGTCTACAAAGCTAGTTCCAGGCCAGCTGGAACTACACTCTGAGACCTTTTCTCAAAAGAAAGAAAAAGAGAGGCAGGTAGGAACAGGAAGGGAGTGGGGTTAAATAAACAAAACAGTCACTTGTATTGAGGAAGTTCATGGAAGCATCCTCCTCTGCCTATCCAAAGCTCTCCATGAACAAGCTCCTAACTATCACAATGATGGGTGATTGTCTTGCTGCAGTCCACATTTAGGGTTTTCCCTGAAGTACTTCCACTGACATCCTCAGTATGCCCCACCCTACCTTCCCCTGATGCTTTTATTCTGAACTGGAGAAGGCTACACTGAGACCTGGGCATGTCTTGGAACACCCATACTAACCTTCACTGTGACACCAAATGTTTACTCAATTTATTGTGTGCTTAGCTTTGGTCTACAGATGGATGGAGTTCTAAGAAGCTGAAGCCCAAGCAGGGATGGGGACGCCGGTCAATGACTGGGCATAAGCCTATCATGAGGTTCTGGGGTCAGTCCCCTAGTACCGCCAAACAAAACAAAAGAAATCTACGGACTGGCAAATGGCTCAGAGGTTAAAACTGCCAACTTGAAAAAGACCAAGGTTAGATTCTCTGCATCCACATCGGTTGGACAGCTGTACTCAGATGCACATAACCACACACATGTCTATGTAATTAAAAGTAAAATAGATATTTTTAAAAATCTATGACAAAATTTAATGTTAGTTCTAATAATGTCACTGAGCTATGTGTAGTGGTACTTGACTGTAATCCCAGCATTCCCAGCAGGAGGCAGAAGGAAGATTCCAAGCCAGCCTGGATTACACACCAAGGCCCGGTCTTAGAGAGAAATAGGGCTGATGGAACAAGCTCATCAAGTAAAACCTGACGATCTGAGATCTGAACCGACTCCTGCAAGGTGTCCTCTGACCTCCACACGTGCCCCACAATAGGTAGACCCACAACCACACCACCCACCGGAGACAGGCTGGAGAGATTGCTCTACAGTTAAGAGACTGGCTGCTCTTCCAGAGGATCTTAACACATGATGGCTCACAACCATCTGTATCTCCAGTTCCAGAGAAACTAATGCCTTCTGGTCTTTGCAGACACTGCACACACATGCTGCATAGACATACAACTAGCAAAAACAACCATACACATAAAATAAAAATAAATCTTAAACTCAAAGCAACTTCCCACTCCTATCAAAATATGGCAGTTTCTGCCTCACCAAGATTTTAAACCACAAAAACAAACAAACAAACAAAAAACCTCAGGTATATTGAAAATGCCTGGAATGGAGATAAAGACTTAATCAGTGAGGTAAGGGATTCATCTTTCCACTACTCTGGAACTTTGGGTCCTGGGGAAGAAACAAAGGAGCAACTGCTTGCTTTCTGTTTATTTGCGTATATTCGTATTAATTTACTTGAGACACAGTTTCAAGTATCCCAAGCTGGCCTCAAACTCTGGATGTAGCTGAGGGTGACCTTTAACCCTGGATCCTACTACTTCCATCTCCCAAGGACTGAGAGTTTAGGAGTGCAGTAGATGGAGCCCTGGGCTTTGTGCACGCCGCCAGGCTACGTCCCCAGCCTCCTGTAGAAGATGGTCCTTCCAGTCCAAGACAAAGTTCCGGGAAGTGGACTCAGAGTGCTTCCTCTCAGAGTCTGTTTCCTTGACATTCCCATGGAGACCAGCCAGCACCGGGCAACTTCTGGCACCGCAAGCTCGCAGCCCACGTGCAGTCGCGCCCGCCCGCCTGCTCACCTTGTTGGTGAGGTGAGAAGCCAGGTAACAGGTGCAAAAGGTGAGGCCGAGCAGGGACCGCCTCACGTTCATCTCTCAGCTCTTCCGGTTTCCCGGGGACAGGCTGCAGAGCCCAGCCAGCCGCCTCAGTCTTCGCCGCTCTGCCACGAGGCTCCGCTCCGCCAATCAGCAGGCCGCTCTCCCGGGCGCCCGCCTCCTTAAAGGGGCCACGCCCTCAAGGGCTCCCCTGCGTTGCTGCCGGCCGGACCCAGGTCCTCCCTGCCTGTCAGTGGTAGGAAATGGTGGAAGAGAAAGTAAGCACCTCGTCGGGCAGTGGTGGCGAACGCCTTTAATCCCAGCACTTGGGAGGCAGATGCAGGCGGATTTCTGAGTTCGAGAGTTCGAGGCCAAGGTCTACAGAGTGAGTTCCAGGACAGCCAGGACTACACAGAGAAACCCTGTCTTGAAAAACCAAAAAAAAAAAAAAGAAAAAAAAAAAAGAGAGAGAGAAAGTAAGCACATTACAGAAAAATGTCACATAGCCTTCCTTTATGGTTTGAAGAAAAATAGCCATAGCTATTACTGAATGAGTGGATGAAAATGCTGTGGGCTTTACCGAAGCCACCACACACCCACTTTTTACTGCAGTGTTGGGGACCATTATTCAGGTCCTCATGCTTTCATAAGAGGTGCTTTCCAATTGAGCCCAGTGTAGATCGAAATCTTCAAACAGGATGAAATGTGAAGAAGTATGGATAAAATTTTTAAATTCCCTCAACATTTCAAAAGACTTAACAAAATATTTCCTTTTTAAGGGTGTGGTGGTGCATGGCCTTTAGTCTCAGCACTTGGCAGACAGAAGCAGTCAGATTTCTGTGAGTTCAAGACCTGCCTAGTCCACACAGCATGTTCCAGTCTAGCCCTGGCTACACAGTCAGACCCTGTCTCAAAAAGAAAAAAAAAAGTGTGTGAAAATCTATGCAGCCAATACTGGCCTTGGTAAAGTTCTGATATTTCTTCTTTGTTTTATCTTTTCCCAACCTTTGTACACCAAAGCAATGGGTTTATCAGGTTAGCTCCTACCTAAAATTGTCCAGGCTAAGGAACATTGAAGGAGATAGGGTGGAAAGGATGTAAGGATGAGCAGGGAGAAGTATGATGAAACGCCGGCTTCCGGACACGACACAGTATCTACACCCATGAGCTCACTGCCGCTATGGTTACCAACATACAACCTACACAAGATCAGGCCAACACGGGAATCAGACAATGCAGCAGCAGGCAGCACCAAGTGGAATCAGGATTACAGAGTAAAGAAGACAGAAAGGATATGAAAGTCTGAGCAGGGACAGAGTAGGTACCTGGGAGGAGTGGGAGAGCATTGGTGGACAGAATCAAATACACTCGCAAGCATTAAAATTCCAAGCAATAAATGAAACATCTTTAGCTAGGCAGTGGTGGCGCATGCCTTTAATCCCAGCACTTGGGAGGCAGAGGCAAGCAGATTTCTGAGTTCGAGGCCAGCCTGGTCTACAGAGTGAGTTCCAGGACAGCCAGGACTACACAGAGAAACCCTGTCTTGAAAAACCAAAAAAAAAAAAAAAAAACTTTAAAGTTTTATTCATATTGTATGAGGTTTAATATCATATTAAAAATGTGTAAAAATGTAGTACTGTCAACTTGACAGAATCTAGAGTTACTTGGGAGATGGGTCTGTGGGCATGTCTGTGGGGATTATTTTGATTATATTAACTTAAGTGTGTTGCAGAATATTTGATCACATTATGAACCCCAAGATTGTACTGTTTAGTGGAAAAGCCTGTTTCTAGTTGTGGTGTGGCTGAGCCTTAGCACACAGCTTTGATCCCTCTGGCTGAAATACAGATACCACCTTAATACACACCTCTAACCACAAACTATGAAAGTAAAACTAGTTATAGAAGGAGCCCCCATATTTGAAAGTGATGTCTAATTGAGTGGTAGACAAAGTGTCAAATCAGAGAAAGACTTGACAGAATAGGACATGCCCAACACTCACAAGAACAGAAAGAGAAGTTACTTGAGGAGGCAGTGCAGTCAGAGGAAAGAGTCAGTTTTACTGGGATAGTTATAGCCAGGTTGCAGAGAAAGATCAAGCTAGACACGGGTGAAGATAGACTGAGCCAGAGAATAAGAAGGAACCAGGAGATTAGATTACTAAAGTTAGTATGAGACCAAGCAAAGTCAGTCAGAAGATGAAAAAAGCCAGTGTGAATCAGTCAGCGTGGAGAAGAGTTTGAGCCAGAACACCTGAGTTGATCAGCCAGCCAGAGCTCAGAAAGAGCTAGAAAGGGTGAACTTGTTCAGCAGTAAGTCTCAGAGGCTGACAACATTCTAGGACTAGATAAGATTGTATGGAGACTAGAAGTTTCCGGGACTAGGTGTGGGTTAGCAGAAAGCAGGTGAATAAAAGTTACTTTTACAGAAGTGGGAAGAGCCACCTCATATGAAGGCACCATTCTCTCACTGAGGTCTGGGACTGTATACGAGGAGAAATGTACATTCATAGCTGTCTGTTTCTGACTGTGGATGTGATGTGGCCAACCACTCCATGCTCCGGTTGTCCCCACCAGGACCCCTGAATTGTGAGCCAGAACAAACCTTTCTCCTTTTCATTGTTTTTGTTGGTGCTGGGGTCTGGGAATCACCACAAAATCATACAAACACTGATCTCAATTATGCAAGAATTGTTTATTGACACACAATTTAAAAATGTACTAGCACTGGAAAAAAGAAATAATAAATAATAAAAGGAAAGCCTAGAATCAACCAAGCTTCAAGTACACTGAGCCAGACACTCAACAATAATGCCTCTGGGGACGGGATATCACTAAGGAGAAATTGCAGGTTCATGCTTTATTTAAACACTTCTGATTTGGTTTTGCATTCCTTATTGGTGTGGTTGATATATAAGTATACAGTCACCAATGTTAGTTAGCTTGTTCCTCTGTGTAGCAAACCACTGGGAAAAGCAGCTTAAAGATTTATTTGGGCCAGTTCTTCCTGGCTGAGTGGGTTGACAGTGCAGAGTATATACAGAAGCAGAGAGGAAACAAGGCCTGTGCTTGGGAGCCTCCTTCTCTCCCCTTCCTTCCCAGCCACAGCCTAGTGAGTCCTGTTGCCTGCTCTCCCCTCCTTTTAGCTAATCTTCTCTACAAACACACTTGGTACTGGTCTTTGGCCACTTTGTGGTTCTTTTTCCTTCCATCCTTCTCCACCCCCTTTCTACCCCTTCAGCCTCTAACACTAGATAGGAGAGAAAAAAAAAGGACAGAAAGGAAGGGGGTGATGTTTTTTAGATTACTTCCTGCCTATCAGGGGCATCAAGTTTCTTGGGGCAAGTTTATTCTTCACAATCAGGATATCTAAGTTCTTCTTTGCCCATGGATATTTAACAAACCATGAGCAATAGCAACCAACCACCAACCCACTTCTACTGGGGCCATAGCATTTATATATCCTCTGAAAAGTCCACAGAATTCCAAACTTCACACAGTCACAGAAACTATCTGCTGCTGGTAAAGTCATGCCCCTGCCAGAGTCATAGTCAGGTGCTGTGGACAATCTGAAGCAGCTCCATATCCCACACTTGTGATTAAAACGAAAACATACTTTTATAATATTTCTATGTTTTTTGAAGAAATCAGAATTCCAAGATTGTCATTATATATACTTTTCCCACTTTCAATACTGTTTGCATTTTAAAAAGGACTGTGTGTAATTTTGAGTCTAGGTGAAAGGAATACACACACACACACACACACACACACACACACACACACAAACAAACAATCAAGGGTCCTTGAGATAGCTCAGCAGGTAAAGGCACTTGCCACCAAGCCTGGCCCTACATACACATAACTGTCATGGCATGTGAGTGGCCCACCACAATAAACAAACAAATAAATGTATAATTTTTTTAAAACATGTTAAATTGACAACAAAAAAAAGTCAGAGCCCAGCAAGACAATGATGGTACATGCCTGGCACCCAGGAGGCAGAAGCAGGAGGATCTCTGAGTTTGAGGCCAGCCTGGTCTACAGAGTGAGTTCCAGGACAGCCAGTGCTACACAGAGAAACCTGTTTGGGTGAGGGGGATAAGGACAACAGGTCCAGGAGCACCCTCACCTCATTCTTCTTGTTCTCTGGGTGCTGCGGCAATGGAAACAGTGTGCCAAGCTGAGGGTAGGAGGGTAAAACAGAACAGACACAGGAAATGTTTATTAAAGAAAATACTGCAGGGCTGGAGAGAGGGTGCAGCAGTTGAAGTACTCCCTGTGCAGGCATGAGAAACTACGTAAATGCCAGGTGGGCATGGCCACCCACTGTAGTTCCAGCTGTGAAAGGTAAGAGACAGAGGACCCCTGGTGACTGACAGGAAACTTCAACACAACTGACAAGGCCACAATAGCACCCAGAGTATAAAGTGGGTTTTCCACACAGCAAGTAAGCTTGGCTTGCTAATGTAGGATTTCTTATCTTCAATCTCTCACTCAGGTACCTCACAAAACCACCTCATAACTTCATTTGCAAAAGGAAACTCTGTAAGACAAGAGAAGTAAGTAAACTAGCTCAGATATGTTTGTTACTTAGTTTTTAAACACTACTAAAAATTTCAAGCTTTGCCTAATTTTTAAACCTTGTGGGAGATTACAGGCTTTAGGAAGCAACATAACTTAAGAAGTCACAGGATCGTGCATTCATTCATATACTTATACATATATACATACATTGTAAGGTATGTATCAGCAACTGTCTTTCAAAAACTAAATGCAAAACAGATACAAATTCATTCCAGCATTAAAAACCAAGGAGCCTTCTGTTTTCTTTGTAGGCCAAAGAATGTGCTAATCCCAAATTCTGACACTGCAAACCTGTCAAGTGTTTTGTCTCAGCTGAGCACTATTGGGCTCTTCAGTAGAGAGGGGGCACAAGCTGCAGCAAAGCCCTTTTTTTTTTTTTTTTTTTTTTTTTCGAGACAGGGTTTCTCTTTAAAGCTCGGGCTGTCCTGGAACTCACTGTGTAGACCAGGCTGGCCTTGAACTCAGAAATCCTCCTGCCTCTGCCTCCCAAGTGCTGGGATTAAAGGCATGTGCCACCACTGCCCAGCTGCAGCAAAGCCCTTAAATGCCATGCTTCCTTCACTCCATAGCAAAGCAGCCATGACTCCATTCAAAGACTCCCTGATAAATCTGATAGGTCTAAATGCTGTCACTGGTACACCATACCTGTGGGGAGCAGAGGAAAGCTTGAATGAATGCATAAAGAATTAATGAAGTTCTAAGTGAATGTGTGTAATTGACATGGGTGCATCCACGTCAAGGACTGAAGACCTAGGACCCATGGGAATACCACTGCCTTCCCTTTATGGGCCAGGCTTGGAACTGGTAAATGGTAAATCCTTCCTGGGGTCCAAGTAAGAGTGTTTTCAAACAATTAATGAGTACATGCAAAAACTAACGATTGAAGCTTCCTCCTACCAAATGACAGCAACTGGAGACTGCTCCAGCACAAAGGCCTCCTACCTAGACTATGTTGTGCACAATAAATGTGCTGAGTTTTTGAGCTGTTGCACAGTAGATACACTCCATTAGAGCTGGCATAACCTCTGTGGAGCCAAGACCAATTGGTGCAGTAAGCAACACCCACACATTGTATTCAGATTTGTAAATATGTGATTGTTTATTTAAGACAGGGTCTCACTATGTAGCCTCCACTGGCCTGATACTTGATATGTAGACAAAGCTAGCTTCCAACTCAGAGATTCATCTGCCTCTGCCTCTGCCTCTGCCTCTGCCTCTGGAGTGCTGGGATCAAAGGTGTGCACCAGCTCATTTGGCCAAAGATTGTACACATTTTAAGAGTCTGCCTGACATTTTAGGAGTATGTAGTTGATAACATCAGGCAAACACGTTAACTACTGATACAGAGGCACTTAGTCAGCCTACAAACCTGTCCTAAATAGGAGTTCCATTTACAATAACTCAAATCTCCTCGTCTATTTCCATGCCTCAAGTACTTCTGAGTGTTCTGTAAGGTGATTCACTGGTCACTAATGTCTGGAGCAGAGAATGGGGGCGGGTGGTGTTCTTCATCCTCTTCAGCGTAGCTCTCAAGCCATCCTTAGTGTCAGCCCCTGACCATGTCCCCGAGATCTCCAAGCTCCATGAGCTTCACCTACAGCCTCAAAGATACAACCTGAATGTTTTCTGAAGACTGTGGCAGCTGGTGACTGCACAATTCCCCACCCTACTCTAAGTACTGTCCTCATGCTGATCGATTCAAGATCCATCTGGTTCCCTATTCAAGGCCGGGCTGGTTTGGTAAGCATCCCAGCCTCCCTCCATCTTACTTCCACCTCACTGTAGCTTCCTTTTATTCAAGAATATACTGCATTTGCTTATCTTTAAAACTCTTAAGCAATACACTACCGACATCTGTACCCCAACCCAAAACTAAAATCTTGGAAATAGGAGAAAGATCAGAGTTGGAATATGCAGTCCCCTGACAGAAATATGTTAAAGTAGCTAAGACTTGAAATTAGACAGATGGCAACACATTCAAAAGACGTGTCAAGGCAAGTCTCCACAACCTTCCCTACCCAACTGTCAGGTTAGCCTTATTCACTGCAATCACCCATAAGACAACTGTCAGAAATATTTTTTGGGTATGCAAACTAGAAGCATTATACTCTCATTTTAACGGTGTCTCAGTTCTTGCTATTTCTTTTTTGTCGTAACAACCAGCTTTGAGGTCTTTCTATCTTAGCTCTTGTGATTTGAATCTGAACTACCCCCACAAAGCTCATGTGATAAAATGCTAGGCGGCCAGTTGGAGGGGGTCATTTAATTTCCAAATTGAGTTACTTTATTCTATGTGCCTGTTTCATTTTCAGGTAAGGATAGAATCTTCTCCTCAACATCACTTTTGAGATTAAAACCCTGACCAGTGCTTGGATATAGTGATGTATAATGCTTTTTTCGTCACTTTATGAATTTCTCAACAAAATAGAGAATCACAAATTTTATTGTGCGGTCTTATTTTTTTGCTCAGTATTATGCCACATATTCAGTAGTTTCTCTCATTCCACACTTGCCCTTAAATGACACTAGCAACAACTGCAATCTGTATCACTTTCCCCTCTTTAAACCTGCCAGTTCCACCCTCTCCGAAATCCGATCCGGTTTCGAATTACCCCGGGAAATAATGATCAGAGACTGCCTGGCTTGAGCATTCGGAGGCCCTACTGATCGGATTAATTAGATTCGGTAACTGGGAGGAAGGAACCGGAAGGAGGTGCCCGCACAGGGAGTACCAGCTGAGAGGAAGCCAAACCCCGCCCTGTCGTGCCAGGAGCCGGTCAACTCCAACCCTTGCCAGACGAACTTTGAGCCCGAGGCGTAAAGACCGGAAGTACAGCCCTCCCGGGATACAAGCAGCCAATCAAAAGTGAGAGCCCTAGCTTAGAGGGCGGAAGAGAAGCGGTCCAGTTCCGGACGCGGCCGCCGCCGCCGCCATCTGTCACCTCACCTCCGGCACCGGCAGCGGGTTGCCCGTTCCCCGCCCGTGTCCTCGGCGGAGCCTGCTCTCCCTCCTGTCACCTCTCAGCTCCGTTCTCGTCTCTGCCTTCCTTCCCGAATGGATCTGGTCGGAGTGTCTTCACCTGAGCCCGGGCCCGCAGCAGCTTGGGGACCCAGTAAGGTGAGCGGTGGTCACGGCAAGTGAGCCAGCTCACGCCAAATGCTGGTCTGAAGTCAGGAGACGTGAGTCGGGGGAGCCTGGGGCGGGACCCTGACGTCTTCGCTCAGGCCGCCCCGGTGGTCGGGGATTCGACTGGATCTGCGCCTTGTCTTCTCCATTTGTTTCTAGACCGGAGCGGAACGTCCCACATGGACGCCGAGGTTTGAGGGAAAACAGCTGGCTCTTGTTTTTCAGTAGCCAAGTGAGTGAGCCCAACCCGGAGAAAGCTTAGACAGAAAATTGCTTTAGGAAACTGTCGCTTTCAGACGAGTGCGGTTATCCCAGTTCGGTAATGTCTTGCTTTTTGAAATGTTAAAGATAAAAATCTAGGTACACCTTCCCCGCTCTAGCTAATTATACTAAAGTGGACAGTAATACAGTAAAATGGTTATGAGTTTTTGTGTTCTGCCATAGACTTGGTTTCTCCGTACCTCTCGAATGCCAGACTCGTACGATCCTTTTCTGTTCACGTCTGATTTTGAGCCTCCTCTTTTTCATGTTATACTGGTTAAGATGAAAAGACCGGTAACACTTGCTGAAAGCAATAGTGCTTCCTTTGGGATTTGTATCCCTGAGGTTTACGGTCGTGAAGGGGATCCAGGCTTCTAAAACCTCGTAATAGTTTTTTGCATGCTAACACACAATAATGTTTCGTTTATTCAATTATTAATCTTAATGGACCACCTGCCTCTGCCTCTCTACATGCACCACCACTGCTAGGCTCAACTGTTCAGGTTTCTGTTGTTGTTGTTGTTTTTGGTTTTTGGAGACAGGGTTTCTCTGAATAGCCTTGGCTGTCTTGAACTCACTCTGTAGACCAGGCTAGCCTCAAACTCTCGAACTCAGAAATCCGCCTGCCTCTGCCTCCCAGGTGCTGGGATTAAAGGCATGCGCCACCACTGCCCGGCGAACTGTTCAGTTTTTTAAAAGTTGGTTTTATAAGTTTATAAACCTGTAGAAAGAGTTAAATGTACTGGTAAATATGCCATAACATGGATAAACTTTGTGTGTGAGACTCTGACTTTGTTGATGAGGTCAAGGTGAATACATAAAAGGACAAAAGTACAAGCCAGGTTCTTTGAGTTTCTCCAGAAGAAGTTAGAGGAAAATGTCATTGAAAACACTGTACCCTGAGAACATGCTTCACTTCCTAAAGAAATAATACCAGATAGGCATTGTCCATTACCCTCTCCTCTAAGTATATATCACCAGAACTGTAAAAGCCCATTTTCTTCATTTATCAAAAAGTATGTTCCTGGAGTTTTTTGGTAGACAGACTACCAAAACCAGCTTCACATAACCATTTCCTTCTCTAAGCATGGAGACCCACAGTGAATGCCTGGGGAGGAGACGCAGAGGCCCTGAGGACAGACTGTTCACACTTTAAGGAGTCACTAGTGCATACTTTAATAGAAGGGAGCTTACTTTTCTATTTATTTGTTGGTTTTTTTTGATTGAAGGATATTGGAAAAATCTGTCCCACAGATAGATAGATAGATAGATAGATAGATAGATAGATAGATAGATAGCAAATATAATTGAAGATGGACACAGTAGAGAGAAATACAATAGAGTTAGCATGAGAGTGCAGTTACACATTCAGTCAGCCCACAGGATGATGATGTCATCAGATCTGATGTAAACTCTGGAAAACCCTATTATACTTGAGAGAATACAAGTTACAAAGAAAAAGCATGTCTTAGTTTGCTGAAAAAATTTGACCTCACAGTTCTCCAGATAGGGTCCCAGTGACCTGCTCTTCCAGGGTACAAGTGACAGAATGCCACACTGCCATTACAGACAAAAAGTTATAGGTCATAGACCAAGATAGTGGAGAACTGTCAAACCAGCAGCAGAAGTTGGGAAGTCTCTAGCTCTGACAGCGAGTTGTAGAAATGAATCCATGGGACTGCTGTGGACACCAAAGAGTCTGAGAAACTCAAAACCAAGGAGAGCCTAAGGAGACATGACAAATCTAATGTGGTGTTCTGGTCGTAATTCTACATCAGAAGAAGGTATTAGGGGAAAGCTTAAAGAAATATTAATAAAGTATGGACTTTAGTTTTAACATATTGCCAAGCATGGTATTATGTGCCTGTAGTTCCAAGGCTGAATGTAAGAAAATCAGGAGTTCAATGCCAACATGGGCTACCTAGTGAGAGCCTTGTCATAAAACTATCAGTATTTAGTGGTACATACCTGTAATCCCAGAACTACGTCAGCTGAGGTGGGAGGACTGAAGGCAGGTGGGAGGTGAAGTTTCAAGACCACTGTCATGAGTCTGTTCCTACAGATACCATCAGTAAAAACCTTTCTATAATGTGGGATAAGCAGCTAGGAACAGACCAAAGGAAAGAAGGCTGATTCCCCTTCAACCTGCACTAGCTAGAGACTGATAAATGTGGCCATGATGAAGAACCTTGAGGAGCAGAACTCAGTGGTAGAACCTCATCAGATTAATTGATGGGACCATCCCAGGGGTAAGGATTTAGGAACTTGGCTGTGGGTCTGCCAGGTACACTGTTAGTTAGGTTTATGTAGCTAGACCCAAAATACTTGAGAGGACCATTTAAAAGGTGAAAGATTTTGGCATATGGTTTCAGAGTGTTCAGATCATGGTCACTTGACTGTGTTTTTGGGCCTGTGTGAGACAGCATGTCATGGAAGTCAGAGCTGAGGATCTGGAAGGAAGCGGAACAGAACACTTAAGTCTAGTTGTCTCTGGAAAACCCTGATAGACACACCCAGAGGAGTGACTCAAATCTAGGCATTTATTAGTCTGAGTATATTAACAGCCACAGTTGACCTCAGATGCACTCAGTAAGGATTGGTCCTGTTTCTCAGATGAGCTCAATGTTATGCATAAATATGTTGATGAACAGAGCTGTACGAGTCACCAATGGGACAGGAGTCCGAGATTTCCTATTGTCTTAGGTTTATGGCCACTTTACATTTTTGAAAAGTTTCTTGTTATTGTGTGCATGTATGATGCTAGGGGTGGTGCACACGTGCCGTGGTTTGCATTTGGGGGTCAGAGGACAACTTTGTGGACTTGGTTCTCTCCTTCCAGCTTTACTTGGGTTCTGGGGATTGAATTTAGGTTGTCATGCTTGCTCCACAGGTGTCTTATCAGCTGGGCCATCTCACTGGCCCACTGCCTCTTAACTCCTCAGTGAAGAGTCTCAAGAGATTGACAGCACTCTCCACTACATACCCCTGGTGCTAGCTCATAGGAGAAGTCTCTGGTACATGTTCTGAGCCCCTTTCAGCAGATGAGACTTTTGTCGAATGTTCCCTTCCCCAAAGCTGTCCCTCAGAGAGTTTAGGAGAGTTTTGTGGAAGGCTTTTACTAGCTATTTTTAAATGTTTCAATTTAATTTTAAACTGTGGGAGCCTGAAATTGTAACTTACCCAATTCAAGGAAGTTGCCTCAGTGGGAGGTGGCTTCAGTGGGAGGTGGCCCAGTTGAATGGTTGGCATAGATAGGGGAAGTATAGCTGTAGAGTGTGAGGTTCCACAGGACACGGTCACTGTGAGTGTGCAGTTCTATGTGCTGCTTATATTGATGGTTTTGGACTTATCTTTGGGGAATAGAGAAACCACTACTTCAAAGTAACAAAATTCCTGCCTGACATTGTTGGCTCTTCTGAGGAGTGTATCAGCTAATAGTTAATGTCTTTAGAATCTGGTAATAACAGTAGACTCTGAGCCTCAGAAATAGACAGGCAAGATGGAGGAAGGGACTTGAGCAATTTGAAATGCAGAAAGGCACCAGACCCCTGCAGCTTCAGACTACATTTGGTTATCTTTGCATTGCTTCCTGTGGCATGTATCATGCAGTAATTACTTGAATGTTCCTGTGTCTGAAGCTCTGAGCTGAGTCCTAAGGATGAGAGGGCTCATGCTCTGTCCTGGCTGATGATAAACTTTAGTTCTGAAGCTGCCCTAATGGAGCTTTCCTTTGTCTCAGTTTCTAAGCCTTTAAAATGTAGATCATATGGCCAGATGTAGTGACTCATGCCCTTAATCCCAGCATGTGAGAGGCAGACTGGTCCACATAGTTTCAGGACAACTAGAACTACGAAACAGAGACCTAATTTGAATGAGGATCCAAGAGATGGTCGAGGAGAAGGGTTTTGTTATCTGAGGGAAAGTACAGCTTGAGGTATCTGGAAGGGTTCATGCTGGTCTTGGCCAAGGGTGGGGAAAAAGAGAAAGAAGCAAGAGAAGGGAGAGGCAAGCAAATCAAGAAAAGAGTCACAAACCAAGAGACCAGGAAATCACCTGGCCAGAATGGTTGGATTGTATAGCAATCAGAAGCTGGAGCAGGGAAGCCCAGCCATTGGGCCAAAGAGGTAGATTAAGGAGTGGGGCTGAGAAGTGCTGGGAGAGGCCACAGGTACTGAGTGAAACCAATCTGGATTTCTTTGAGATCTGAGAAGACCAACCAACCAATAAAGAAATAATGTAGACACTCAGTTGTGGCATTATTTAAATATGGCTTAAATATAAGAAATACCAGAAATGTTATCTGTTGGGCTGGGAATGTAGCTCATGCTGGAATGGCAGTTACCTAGAATGGTCCTTGGATTCAGTCTCCACCACTGCAAAACAAAGGGGGTAGGGGGGAGGAGACAGGAGGCTGCTCTTAACCTTATTGGCATTGTGGTGAGAATTGTGACTGGGAGAATACAGTCATCTGCTTTTAGAGCTTGGACTTTGGAACTGATCAGACCAAGAACTTCTTTTAATTAATGTATTTTTTACTTCACATGTATGTTTATATGAGGGTGTTGAATCTCCTGGAAATGAAATTACAGACAACTGTGATCTTCCTTGTGAATATGGGAATTAAACCTGGATCCTCTGGAAGAGCATCCAGTTACTCTTAACTGCTGAACCATCTCTCACCACCCCCCCCCCAACCAAGCATTTCTGGTTAAAGAGCAGAAGGCCAAAGAAAGCCATGTTCTGCACATTACAGAGAGCTTCAGTCAACTTTCAAGAAGTCTCTTCTCTCTAGGTGTGGCCTTCCATGAGGATAGACCAGCTCTGCAATGGCTATTGTAGGTGTGTGTAAGAGTCCATGATCATCTCTTCTGTCTTAGGCTGAGTCCAGACAAAACTGGATCTATTTCCCTTAGGCATGAAATAATTGTTGATCACCCTCAGGTTTCATCCTGGCAGCCTGCCCAAGTTAGTTCTGACCCTCTCCACAGTGCTCTGTAACCTGAGCATGGGTGGTTCCCCTGTCCAGTTGTCTCAGAGTCTCATGTACCTTTGCTGTCTCACCTTGGTTAGATAGTTTTGTGGCTAATATAGATAGTGATGCTTGTTAATTCTGTAGTACGCATTCATTAAGGAATGAGCTCAGACAGTGAAAGTAACACCAAGTTTAACTAAGGGAATGTAACTAGTAAAATCTACATTTTGGTAAAAACGCTGTATCGTGGAAAATGGAATCAAAACAAGGAGAAAATGGTGAATTGGATGTTTTAGAAAAGTGTGAAATAGTCTAGAATCTGTGTCTCAGGAAAGCTGAGACAGTTTCCCTTGTCACTAAGGGAGGCCAGTGCTGAGGAAGCCTCTCAGGAACATTACTCTTTCGTAATCATACTTTGTCAAGTCTGATTCTCAGATCCTTAAGTGGGCAGTACGTATTTTGTGGCTTTTTCTTGGTTCTATTTTAGCATATACTCAGACATCTTAAGGAGGATTAACACTTTTATAATGAGCCATGTCCTTATGCTTATGTTGGAATTAGGCATAACTCTTGTGTAGGATTAGAATTGTATTAGTTGGTAAAATTAATTTCTTTTTCCTTTCTGAGACATCCTTGCTTTGTAGGGCAGACTGGCCTCAAACCCACAGCAATCCTCTTCCCTCAGCCTCCTAAACACTGGAATTACAGGAGTGAATCACGGCTGCTGATACAGTCTATTCCCGTAAGAAAATCTACTAAGGAAGCTAAATCACAAGCAGAAAGGTTTTATGAAAAATCGATTAGAACAAAGAGAGTTAGTTGTACTTGAGCTGCTTGCCTCCTGGGTGTTGCTCTGTAATAGCCTAGTACTTTTTCAACTTTGAGAACACACCCACCAAAAGGCCAGGTGCTTGTCTCAGTTTACATTTGCCCTCAATAGAATTTGCATTGGGAGGTGTTCACATGGGTTATTGGTAAAGGCATCCATTGCCAGACCTGGCAGTCTGATTTCACTCCAATTCCTGGGACTCACATGGTAGAAGGAGAGACTCAACTCCCAGGAGGTGTCCTTTGACCTAACTTGCATTGTGGAGCTTGCACACAAAGTAAGCAAGTGAAAATGCAATTAACAATAAAGGATGCTTTCTGTTAAGGTGAATTTTGTAAATAGTGAATCACTCATTTGGATAGTTTTAACTAGTTTAATTCTCAAAAGATAACCTTGTTTTCAACTACTTAGATAATATTATAAAGCTTTTCTCTTTTGTTTAAACAGTGCCCGTGGGCTACCCCTCAAAACACAGCATCCTGTTCACTGACTGAGGTGATGAGTGAGGAGTTGGCTAAAGAGCTGCAGTTGGAAGAAGAAGCAGCTGCTTTCCCTGAAGCCGTGTACGTGACACATACAGCGTTTGCTGTAGCACAGCTTTAGAGTCTGTCTGGGGACTGTCGTTTCATAAGAGTAAGAGTACACACTCAGCAATGCAAAAGAAAGTGCACTATACCGAATTCATCCTGTTTTTCAGTACAGAGCAAATAGTCCCTAAAGTTTTGGACACTCTAAAAAGCACTCCGAAATTTTCAGACTTTGTATTTCATATTATAATTTTTCAGATCAAGAATACTTAAGACATCAGTTATTTCAGACTTTGGGTCTGAAAACTTCAAAAATATAAGTACTTTTGGTCCCAAGCAATTCAGATAAGAGATTCTGAGTTTATATTATGTTAGACAAATCACTGTTTGTCTGGGTTTTGTTCTTGTTAATACAACAGTTGAACTACTGAGGTATTGTTTTCTAGTGTTTGTTGTCTGTTTCTTCATTATTATTATTATTATTATTATTATTATTTTTCTACTTTGGCTACGTTATAGACAATAAGCATTCTGGGTTTCTGTATGGATTCCCTGACAGAGTCTGTAGGTCTCTCTCCCAACTCTCATTCCTAACTGCAGCTCTTGGAATTGGCTGTGGGGCTGGCTGGACAGAAGACGGTAAATGTGTTGGTAGATTTTTGCCTCTTCTTCAGTGGGATTTTAACATTTCAAAGATGCTTTCTTCTCTCCCAGTCAGTAGCTGTTTGCATAGCAAATCAGATCAGCTTATGTCACCTTGTTTTGAACAGTGTTGCTGAAGGACCATTCATTTCTGGAGATAACATTGACACTTCCAGCGACCTAATGCTGGCTCAGATGCTACAGATGGAATTTGACAGAGAATATGATGCACAGCTTAGGCGTGAAGAAAAGAAGTTCAACGGTGATAGCAAAGGTACCAGATCTCATTGTGACATTTCCACTGGGTGGTAGGAAATGCCTCTGTACACTCCTAAATAAACCATCAACCATTTTTACCTTTAAGTTTCCATTTCATTTGAAAACTATCGGAAGGTTCATCCTTTTGAAGACAGTGACAGCTCTGAAGATGAGGTTGACTGGCAGGACACTCGAGACGATCCCTACAGACCAGGTGCTGCTTGTTTCTAGGGCACAGTTGGGAAGGGGGAATACTTAACAGTAATGTCTCCAGTGAAGTTGTTTAAATTCTTGTTTATATCTGGATCTCATTTGATAGTTCACACTATTAGAGTCAAGTGTCTCTCCAGTGTCTTGCTGAATCCAAAACTTTACTATTGCTGTTCTTATATTCTTGGCTTTTCTCAATTGCCTTTAGCAAAGCCAGTTCCTACTCCCAAAAAGGGTTTTATTGGAAAAGGAAAAGATATCACCACTAAGCATGATGAAGTAGTATGTGGAAGAAAAAACACAGCAAGAATGGAAAATGTAAGTTATAGATAGTATTCTCTCTCAATCAAGAGTTTAAAAATACATTTTAAAAATAGCATTCCAGTCTAGGTATGGTGGTGCCATGCCTTTAATCCCAGTATTGGGAGGCAGAGACATATGGTGTACATAGTGAGTTACAGGCCAACCAGGGATACATAGTGAACACAAAAACAAGCCAGCAGCATTCTGGATATAGTACAGTACATTTCTAAAGCTTTATTTTCTTTTATTTATTTCATATGGTCTCACACCATAGTTCAGGCTGGCCTTAAACTCATGCTCCTTTTTGTGTCTCCTCTGTACTGTGGCCACCACTTCAGACCACAGAGATGGTCTAGATGACAGCCCAAGTCCCAAACCCAGTGTGCAAAAGAGAGCACGGTGCTATGGGGTAAACCCCACATAAGTGTCAAATCCATTCTGCAAAGGAGAGCGCAGAATGTGGAGTAAAACATGTGATGAAAGTTTCAAAACTAATTTGATTTACAAGATCTAAAATTAAGAAATAAAGCCGGGCATGGGTGGCATATGCCTAAAATCCACACTTGGGAGGTAGAGGAAGGAGGATCAGGAATTCATCGTCATCCTTGGCTTCATAGTGATTTCAAGGCTAGCCTGGGTACACTGTATCTTTAAAAAAAAAAAAAAAGAAAGAAAGAAAGAAAGAAAGAGTGAATTCTTGGTTCTAGTACATTATATATATATTTTAAAGATGTCTTTATTCATTCTAAGAGTACACTGTCGCTATCCTCAGACACACCAGAAAAGAGCATCAGTTCCCATTACAGATGGTTGTGAGCCACCATGTGATTGGCTGGAATTGAACTCAGGATCTCTGGAAGAGTAATCAGTGCTCTTAACCACCGAGCCATCTTTCCAGCCCCTAGTACATTTTTTTTTTTTTTTTTTTTTTACAGAAGAGTGTTATTTACAAGACACAGTGATGGAGGCAGGAAAAGAACTAAAAGAACTAGAAGAAGAAATACTTATACTTATTCTTCCAGAGGACCTAAGTTTGACTCCCAACATCCATATCAGGTGGTTCACAGCCATCTATATACTTCAGCTCCAAGAGATCTGATGCCTGGCCTCCATGGGCATTCACATGTGCTTGTGCATATGTACCCACATACAGTTAAGAATAAATCTTAAAACCAAAAAGTCTTGGGTACTGTCGAGATAGCTCAGCAGTTTATAATACTTGCTGCTCCTGCAGAGGACTTGGATTTGTTTCCCAGCACCCCACAACCATCCTTAACTCTAGTTCCAGAGGATATGATACTCTTTTGGTTTCCATGGGCACAGGCATGCACGTGGTACATTCATATAGGCAAAACACTCTCACATACACAAAGTTTAAAAATTTTTTTTTTAACTTTATGTGTGTGTGAGAGAGAGAGACAGACGGACAGGTGTTCAAGTGCCTGTGGAGGACCAAGAAGGAGGATGTTGGATCCCCTGGCACTGAGTCAAAGGTTACTGTGAACCTATTTGCATGGGTGCTAGGAACTGACTCAGAGTCTCTGGAACAACAAGTGTTCCTAACTGGGAAGCCATTTCTCCAGTCCCAAATAAATAAATAAATCTTTTTAAAGCATTGTCTTTCATAAATACTTTGGTCAGTAAGAATGCAGACCTTAGCACACAAATGCTGTCTAGTAAATATGTCATTGGATGTGGTTGTGTTGTATTCTGATGAGGAAGGCTGCCTGTCCCTGTCTTCTGACATGGTAAGCAACTCAAATTTAAATATTCACAGGGTGTCTAGCAGCTACCCAAGTGGACTATAATTGCCATAGAGGTGATAGTACAGTTTACTGTAGCAACTTAATCTTCAAAAATAGTTTATGGAATTGTGGTTTTTTTCATTAAGGTTTCGAGTAGGCTTTATAAAATGGTGTTCTTTGGCATAAAAATATGGTACAGAGCAATTGCTGAGAGACATTCACTTTAGATATAGTGAGGTGTTTCTCTGTATAGGATATGCCAACCTTTGGGCTGCAGTTTCTTTGCGTTGCTCCTCTGTGTTTGGGATCCCTGCTCCCTGGGCCTGTGGATTGTTTCTGTGTGAGGTCATCTGTTGAATATGAAATCTGCTGCAAGACTTAACTTCTCACCGTTGTTTCCAACACCATGGCCATGTAAAACAGTTAACTCCTGATTTTTTTGTTTTTGTCAGTTTGCACCTGGCTTTCAAGTAGGGGATGGAATTGGAATGGATTTAAAACTATCCAACCACGTTTTTAATGCTTTAAAACAACATGCCTACTCAGAAGAGCGTCGAAGCGCCCGTCTCCATGAGAAGAAGGAACATTCTACCGCTGTAAGCATTCTTAGCACCTCCTCCACTTTGGTTGAAAAATTCATATTACAAACAGTGTTTGAGGGGCAAAGAATAAAACAAAACTTTGTGATTACCCCCACTCATTCCCCTGAAATTGGCTTTCCAAATCAGTGCTACTAGAGTGATGTTGCTTTTAGGCTTTTTCTGATTTAACATTCAGTCAATCAGTTATTTAAAGCACATATTACAGAGTTTTCAATTCTAGAAGTAGCACTGCCAGTCTCATAGGGTTTGGTGTAGAAGGGAAGCCCCACTTCCTGTGTGGCCCCTCCCATGAAAGTGGTACCCAGGACAGCACTCACAGCTCAGCCTCCAGCAGCAACCATCATGTACAGCTGGCTCACCTGCTGTTGCACCCCAGGAGCCAGATGTGATGGCCCAGGTGACAACCACAGTAGCTGGTGCTGTGGCTGTTAAAACATGGCTTCAGTGGAGCCTTCAAACCCTGACATCACCTACCAGGACCTTTAAGGAACCTAATAGGCTTAGCAGAAACAGTTGGTGACCCTTGATTTCATGAGATTCAAAAAGTTTTAACATGTCCAGAACCTGTATGAGGTTAACTCCTGCTAGTGTTTTAGTAAAGTGTCCCATCTGGTTGCCAGGGACTAGACTAGTCAAGGAGTTCAGACTGAGCTCAGGTGGCTCATGTCTATAATCCCAGCACGTTGGAGTTTCAGGCTAACATAGCAGTATTGCCATGAGTTTGAGGGTAGCCTGAACTTAACAGTGATTTCCTGGCCAGCCTGGATTAGTGATAACCAAAAAAAAAAAAAAATCCATTAGTTGTTCTCTGGGCTAATGCAGTCGAAGAAATGTTTGAAAACTGGACATAAAAGTATAATGAATTAAACGCTGGCTGTCCTGGAACTGGAACTGGCCTTGAACTCAGAGGTATACATGCCTCTAATCTCCCAAGTGCTGAGACTAACAGCATGTGTCACTACACCCCGCAATTTTTTTAGTAATAATATTACTGCTTCATAATGCCATCTTTGTACAAAAGTTCACAGAGATGAAAGGACTTGTGGTAGAGCCCGTGGTTATATGGCCTCCCTAAGCCATCTGAATGATAGTATTTGTGAATTAATTAGAATAAAGGTTTTTTTCCCAAAAAAATGTTTTCTTTTAATGACAATAATTTAGAGCATACACTGTGCGTTTAGTTGAATGTTCCAGATGTTTAAAGATCTGTTTTGTTTAATATTTATGGGCATTTCATTTGTCTGTGTACCATGTGGTTGCCTGGTACCCTTGGATTTCCTGGGTCTGGAGTTATAGAAAGTTATGAACTGATGTGTGGATGCTGGGAATTGAACTCAAGTCCATTGGAAGAGCAGCCAGTGCTCTTAATTGCCCACACATCCCTCCAGCCCAGATGTTCTAGATTTAAAAAAAAAAAAAAGGTTTTGCCATTACACTGACACTTATAACTTAATAGTCTCTAGTGTTTTACATTAATGAAGATAAAATCTATTTTGAAAATAAGGCCGGGCGGTGGTGGCGCACGCCTTTAATCCCAGCACTTGGACGGCAGAGGCAGGTGGATTTCTGAGTTCGAGGCCAGCCTGGTCTACAGAGTGAGTTCCAGGACAGCCAGAGATACATAGAGAAACCCTGTCTCAAAAAAAAAAAAAAAAAAAAAGCTGTAAGTGGCCCAGAGAGATGGCTCAGTGTAATGTAAAGAACATGTATTGTTCTTGTAGAGCCTCAGAGTTCAATTACCAGCACCCACATCAGGCAGCTCAAAACTGCCTTAGCACATGCACATGTACACATAAATAAAAAAAATAACATTTTAAAACACCTGTAAGACTACCGAGAAAGTTATGTAAACTTGGCTAAAGTTGGTAAAAATAAGATTTTGATTAAGCCAATGTTTGGATTTTGATTTGTTTTAACTTCCAGTTTCTTTTTTAAGGACAGAATGTGGAAGTTATAGCCAAAGAACCTCATTTAAAGGCTCAGTGATAGGGACCAACATAGGGTACTCAGGGAAAGATGTCACAAGGTTGGTATTGGCTCAGGACTGGAAGGAAGAAGCTGTTGTCTTATAGCCTCAGAATATCTCCAGAGTTGTTGTATAATTTCTACCTTCATTAAAGGTAGAAAAGAGACCTGGGTCCCCAGTGGAGGGTACCTAGCTAGGTAGAGAACATGTTGCAAGGCAATCAAGAAAGGTCAGAGGTTAGGGAAGGGGTGGGTCTTTGTCTACATTAAATCTAGAGATATACCATCTGTACACTCTTGCCTGGCATCCCAGTTGTACCACTTAGCACCATATTCACTGCCCCAGTCCATATTGGCTGTAATCTTGGCTTATGTCCCACCCACAGTTCTGGCAATAGTGTGGGGGCTGAGGGAGGAACACATTGCTGCCACAGAAGGAGGCAGCAGGTAATGTGACCCCAACTCCTTTAGTCCCTTCTCATGCTCTATCTCTGCAGGGGAGCTGTGGTGATGCTTCCCGTTCAGTTTTCTCCTCTGGGGCTAATTGATTATCTTGGGACAAAATTGGGGGTTACTGGAGGCCAGGAGGAATGTTCCAATGGACAGGAGTCCTGAACACTGTATCTGTGGCCTCCAGGACTGGAACTGTGCACAGTGCCACCCAGGAGCCGTCATTGTCTCTGAACCTTGTCTACTTAGTGTCCTACCTGTGAGGACGGGGTAGAGTGGATGAGTGTAAATGTAGGGTGCAGGACTCAAGGTTTTGCTTTCCTTGAAGAGATTCCTTTCCAGACCCACAAGATCTTCTACAAAGTGGGGAGTCAAAGCTAGGAAGCCAGCAGTGCTGTGAGAGGGAAGGGGAAACCTTGGTCAGAGCAGATGCTCTTTGGGAGGCTAGTTTTCCCAATACATCAGAGCCTCCCACTCTGCATATGGAGACTCATGGTGCTGGTTTCTCCCTGAGTTCAGTGTGGAGGAAGCACAGCAAATCTTCAGACACTTCCATAGCAGGCTGCAGGTGGGCCTGGCCAGGAATTAGATTGGGGTTGAGTCCTTTACACAGTCTTTGCCTATGTCCACAATCAGACATGCTACATCTCACCTACTCTGCTCTGCCATCTTAGGATTGCCTTCATTGGCTTTCCTTACCTTCCGACAAGGGTTACTATGGCTCTGTCTGCTGTTAGCACTTGAAGTCCCTTTGGGGCTGTTCCTCAACAAGCTCTGGCCTTTGAGGTTGTCTGCTATAGAAACAGTGACTTCATGGCCCAGACTAGGGACTGTCACCAAACCCATCTTTTTAGCCTTATGACACTGGAGCTGAAATCCAGGGGCTCCCGAGGAAAGAAGTGTATCATCATGGTCATGCTCTTATAAAAGAGCCTGCTTTGCATATGCCTTTAAAGAGTCTTGCTGGGTAGTGGTGGTGCACGCCTTTAATCCCAGAACCTGGGAGGTAGAGGCAGGCAGATTTCTGAGTTCGAGGCCAGCCTGGTCTACAGAGTGAGTTCCAGGACAGCCAGGGCTATACAGAGAAATCCTGTCTCGAAAAATCAAAAAAAAAAAAAAAAGTCTTTCATGTTGACCATTTCACTTATAGAACTTTATCTCTTACAGGAAAAAGCAGTTGATCCTAAGACACGCTTACTTATGTATAAAATGGTCAACTCTGGAATGTTGGAGACAATCACTGGCTGTATTAGTACAGGAAAGGAATCTGTTGTCTTTCATGCATATGGAGGGAGGTAAATGAAAAAACAAAACAGTCCCATGGTGTGAGAACACCTTTCTCCTCAGGATGATGAGTTTGCATATAATCAAACTTAATGCTGTGTAGCAAGTAGAGTCATTTAGAGATCATTACTATAGAAAGGTTAGACATTACTTCTTATTTATTTTGTACTTATAAGCATTCTTATAATCATGTCTTTGCCTTTAGTTTTCTTAATTATCATTTTTACACATATCTGTAATGTACAAACATCATATTGGATTGGGTTGTTAAGTTCTAAGGAAGAAGGTAGAAGGCAGCGCTGGGCCTTGGGATGTGGCTCTGGTAGAGTACATGCTTAGCACATCTAAAGAAAACCCTAGGTCCAATCCCAGCACAAAACCTAAACAACCAAACAGGAAGGAGGTGTGTGTGGCAGGGCGTGGCCTCTTTCAGCCCCTGACCTGGAGCCAGCTATACCCACTATGCGAGTTTTGTGGAGCTCAGTGAGATCATGGTTTGTAATTACTGGTATTAATCTTTGTAAGCATTGATTTCTTCCTTATACATTTCAATACACACTTCCTTAAAATAAGACATCTATGACTTAATGTGCAAATTACTGTAAAGCAAAAGATTGTCCATGACTTAACCTTTACAAGGAAGTATTAGAGAAGTAGTCTTACCGGGCAGTGATGGCGCACGCCTTTAATCCCAGCACTTGGGAGGCAGAGGCAGGAGGATTTCTGAGGCCAGCCTGGTCTACAGAGTGAGCTCCAGGACAGCCAGGGCTGCACAGAGAAACCCCGTCTCAAAAAACCAAAAAAAAAAAAAAAAAAAGTCTTCATGTTACCTGAACTTACTTGTTTTATTTTCTGTAAGTACCGATTCTGAGTCCAGTCTTTCAGAAGTTTTGTATATGTGTGTTACTTATCTGATGCAGTGATCTTCCCCCCCAGTTAACATGTGTTAAGGACTTTTAGGTATTAGTAGACCATTCTGTATTCTAGACGGTACTGTTCCTTCTTTTGACCTATGTGTGTGCTAGTGTGTGCGTGTGTGTACTATTGACAATAAGAGACTGGATGGCATTGCCTCCCTGGAGCTGGAGTTACAGGTGTTTGTGAATGTCCTACATGGGTGCTGGGAACAAATCCCAGTCTTCTGGAATGGGGGGCACAGCAAGTGCTCTTAATCTCTGAGCCATCTCTGCATCCCCAACCATGCTGCTTTAAATGACATGGGAACATGTAGAGAGATCCTTGAATTTAAATGGACTTTTACAGGCATCCCTTGAAGCTAAATTCTCAGTGAACCACTGTGGATACACTGTGTGCCTTGTTTTTTCCTTCCTTGTTAAATAGTGGAAGGCTTCACTGAATGGAGAGATGGTTTTGCTCCCTTTCAAATGCCGAGCTGGCTAGTGTAACAAATAATGTTTCTTGGGGTTTCATGAGTTTTCCCTTTGAATTTTTTTTTTTAATTAACAGTATATTTTCTTGGGGCTGGAGAGTTGGCTCAGAGACTAAAGTGCTTGTGCACATGTGAGTGAGCGTTCCCAGTGCTCCTATGGCAGAGTGGGGCTGGAGACAGAAGTCCTGGAAGCCTACAGGTCAGCTTGCCTGACCACAGGCAACGAGACTCTGCCCCAAGGTAGAAGGCCAGGACCAATGCCCTTGGTTGTCTACTGACCCTCATTCACACAGACACACAAAAGGAAAAGTACACACAGTCTTGTATGTCACCTCAACAGTCAGTCAGGCTCTTCCATAACAGGAGGCAGTTCTCTGCAGCAAGAGCACTGACGAACAGAGAAAAAGCATGCAGTTATTACACAAAGAAAGACCACAGTAGGGTAGGAAGAGATACGAGCAAGATGATTGCCAGACACATTCAGGAAAGACATCATGAGGAAGTCAGTCAGACCTCAACTTTCTTTTTAAAGTAAGCAAAAACAAACAAACAAACAAAAAAACAAAAATGGAGAAGTACATAGCACATGATCTGTAGGTGATTATCCACATAGGTATTTCTGTATGTGTATTAGTCAGATTACTATTACTTTTTTTTTTTTTTTTTTTTTGGTTTTTAAGACAGGGTTTCTTAGTGTGACCAGCCCTGGTTGTCCTGGACTCACTTTGTAGATTAGGCTGGCCTCGAGCTCACAGAAATCTGCATGCCTCTTAGTGTCTAGATTAAAGGCATGGGTCACCACTCTTGGCTTAGTAAGAATTCTTTAAAAGGGCAGAAATGATAGAGTTACATATACATACATATGTATGTATTCTAAAGGAGGATGATTTATTAGAGTGTCTCACAAACTGAGGTCTGATACTCCCAACAGTGGATGCCTCCTGATAGAAAGGATAGAATCTGATAATTGTTCATTCCAGGAGGCTGGATGTCTCTGGAGCTCCTGGGAATTCCTAGGGAGCTGCTGGTCTTCAGTTTGCATTGGAATCATGAAGAAGTAGGTTCTCACACCAGTGAAGGGATACTTCAGCAGCAGGATTGAGGGCAAGAGCCAGCAAGAGTGAGGGCAAGTATGCCTTCCTTGTCCTTTTATGTGGGCTGTTACCAGAAAGTCTGGCCCAGATTTAGGGTGGATCTTCATACGTAAAATAATATGATCAAGAATAATCCCTCGCCGGGCGGTGGTGGCACACATCTTTAATCTCAGCACTTGGGAGGGAGAGGCAGGAAGATCTCTGAGTTTGAGCCAGGGCTACATTGTGAGACCCTGTCCTGGCCAAAAAAAAAAAGAAGAAGAAGAAGAAGGGGAAGAAGAGAAAAGTGGAGAAGGAGGAGGACTGGGGAGGGAGAGAAGGAAGAGAATTATTCTTCATAGCATGCCCGCTGCTTGGGTTTTAGCTGATTACAAATACAGTGAATTTAAAAACCAAGATTAGTCATCACTCTAGAAAGATAGCACTGTGACAGTTGCCCTGGGAGAGGTGGGGATGGAGGGAGGGAGGCTGCGTCAGGGTTATAATCTAAGCTTCAGCTCTGTTGATAATTTTGTACTCGTCATCAGATCTGTCCTTTTGCCTGACAGTAAATGTTAGAGACGTAGGGAGCGCGGTAGGTAGATGTGGTGAGGGGCCTCCTTAAGTCGGCATAGGAAGTCGGGCAGGATGCACATAGGTGGCTGCAGCTTCCTGTGAGTGAAGAGTTCACTTGAGCACCAGTAAGACCCTGTATTAGGGAAAAAAGGAGCTGGGTATGTTGGTGCATGCCATAATCTCCGCACTCAGAATGGAGGTAAGGGGTACAGGATTTTGAGCTCATCCTTAGCTACACAGTAAATGTGGGGCAAGCCTAGGCTAACTGAATCCCTGTCCAAAAAAAAAAAAAAAAAAAGAGCCCAGAAAATTAGAGGGATATGTGATTTGCCTAAGGTACATGGACTGTCTATCTCTGATTTTTTTTTTTTAAATAGGGTTTTATTTACTCTGTGGGTAAACTGTCCAATGACAGGAAGCTCATCTCAAGTCCGCCTAGTCTGTCTATAACATAGTTACAGTATTGAGGCTATTTCTTTGTAAAGCCTCTCATCTCTTCCTGAAAACTGCCTCATCCACTTGCCAATGTTTGAGCAGCTTTCATCTGCTGGGTGTGGTTGGGAGCTCAACTCCCTGCTCTAACACGGCACAGTCCCCATCACCACTGCACTCTAACACGGTACAGCCTCCAACACTGCTGCCTTCAAGGTTGTAAATAAAGAGAACGCCAGATATGTGCTGTACAAGGTTTCAGTGTGACAGTCTTCCGGTTTTGATGAGTAGAGCAGGGAAGTCTGGTGAAGTGACGCAGGAAGGACATACCCAGTGTGCCTGGAAGATCAGGCTGTGCTTTGCTGTAGACTAGAGAGAGGAGCCTGGGAAGCAGAAGGAGCTAGAACAGGAAGCTTTGTGAACCTGAAAGGACTCTGCTGTTTAAGCACAGTGGGAACCAAAGGTGCGATTTTTATTTTCAAAAGATGACTTGGGCTGCTAGAAGGAAAGTGAATGATAGTAAAAAAGAAAAAGAAAAAGAAAAAAGGTCTTGGCTGGGGATGTAGCTCAGTACTTACATAGCATGGAGAGTCCTGGGTTCAGTCCCTCGGACCATGGAAAAGTCTTCATGGCAGTTTAAATGAACTGTTGTGTTGCTTTAGTCTTGGTGACAGTGAAGTAAAGAATAAGAAGCTATGGTTAGAAAGTACAGTCAGCAGATTCTGCTGTTGGATTGGACATGGGGCACTCTTAGCCAGCATAGCCAATGTTGGTGTTATTTCCTGAGATGAGAGCCTAGGGGAAAAATAGATCTAGGAAGCTACCGTTGTTCTTGGCATGGAGAGTTGAAGACACCTGCTAGACTTCCAAGGAAACCAATTATGGGTTGTATAAAGGGGCCTGACATTGTAGAGAAAATCAGGAACAGATATGGAAAGGTAAGTGCCCTCCGTAGATAGAGGCCTTAGATCTCACATAGCACACAAAAGGGGTTCCACAGAGCCTACTAAAGGGCTGTAAACTTTTGAGATTGAATAGAGAAATAACCAAGAGAATGTAATACACAAAGAGAATGCTGGTGTAGTTCAGATTCTGTCTTCTGGAAGCACTTCTTTTCTCTTCCAGCTTAGCATGCCTGCAGGTATTTAGAGGCAAATGTTACTAGAGTTCCATCCACCTTCCTTTCTTCCCAGTTATCACCGATTCAAACCTCTTGAGTCAGCCCTTCCTCTGCCTCCCTTGCTCTTCCTACTCTAACATGATGGTCATGTGATAAGCCCTCATGATGGCTGCTGCCTCTGGACAAATGTCCCAGCTCTTTGCAGCCTGTCTTCTCACCCTGTCTCTCATCTCCACCTTTAATTTTCTCTCTCTAGCCAGGACTTAACTGTAGTGATTCCTTAGACAGGGCCCAAGTCTCTCATGACTATGATTCAAGTCCTCCCCTTTGACCCTGCTCTGTTTCCAGTGCTTCTCACCTTGTACATCCTGGTTGGCGATTTCTAGTGTCCGTTCATGCTCTGCTTCTGCTCCCTCCTGCCTCTTCATGTACTCATAGGGCGTCCTTACACCTTTTACTCACCCTTACACATCTACCAAGAAGGAAGGAATTATATTTTAAAAGGGGTTTCTCTGTGTTGATTTTCTTAAGTTTTGTTCCTAAATCATCCAAGGTCATAGTAGTTTGTTTTAAGAAGTATGTTTTCCCATTATTTGTCAAGCTTAATTCTATAGTCATGAAACTATACTTGTATTAAAAGAAACAAAACCAACTAGGAGCAATAGTGTTTGTCTATAGTTCCATGTCCTGGGGAGCTGAGGCAGGAGAATCATTTGGGTCTAGGAATTTCAGGCCATTCTAGGAAACATATTAGAACTCCATAAAACCGAACATTTATTAAGATACAATACTTGAAGGTATTAAATAAAAAAGACAAAACCTTGAGACAAAGTAGGTATACTTGATTGGGATAGAGTCTTACCATGCACTGGCAGCCTGTATTGACTTAGTTCTTCTTACTCCCTTTAGCCTGGAGGATGAAAAGGAAGATGGTAAAGCTATACCAACAGAATGTGCCATCAAAGTATTTAAAACAACCCTTAATGAGTTTAAGAACCGTGACAAGTACATTAAAGATGATTTCAGGTTTAAAGATCGCTTCAGTAAACTAAATCCACGTAAGATCATCCGCATGTGGGCAGAGAAAGAGATGCACAATCTTACAAGGTAAAGAAAATGGTCTTGCTGCAGGTGACTTTGGGAATTGCCCTTTGTACCAGGACTGCTAGCCAGGCTAAGATCCATGCTGCCTTTTAAGCTGACTTACAGAAATAGCAAAAGGCTTTTACCTTCTAATGCTTCATGAGGCTTTTTGTCAGTAAACATTTCCATGTTTTGAATCAGAATTGCTACTTTATAAATGAAAAGCCATTTTCCTTCTTCACTGATATTTAAGGCACCATCTGCCTAGACATCATATCATATGTGTGAAAGTTCTCTGTTAAATGGTCTTTCTGGAGAATCATAGTATATGCTAGGCACCTATCGTACCTTTGCCAACCTTCTCATGATGCCACTGCACTGTCGAGTGTCCCAACCAGGGGCTGTCTTACCTGTTTTCGTTTTCACATCTTCTGTGTAGAATATAATACCAGCTCAATGCAGGCCCTAGTTAGGTGTTTGTTGAATTAATGGATGTTTTCTCCTTCTGATCTTTATATTCTTAATTATTTCTTTCTATACAGAATGCAGAAGGCTGGAATTCCTTGTCCAACAGTTGTACTGCTTAAGAAGCACATTTTAGTTATGTCTTTCATTGGCCATGATCAGGTTCCAGCTCCTAAATTAAAAGAAGTGAAGCTTAGTGATGAAGAAATGAAAGACGCCTACTATCAGACTCTTGATGTAAGCTGTGCCTGTGTAGCATGTGTGCACTGACTTGTGAGTAGTGTGCTATAGTCCTCAAGTCCAGCTGTGCTGCAGCCCTCAAGCCCAGCTGTTCAAGGCCAACCTGGGGACATAGCACAAGAGCCTGTCTTAGTAATGATAATAACCTTTTAAAAATCTCAGAATCATACCTTCTGAAGGTGGTGTAAAAGGATAAACAGAATCTTGTAATGGGTTAATGACGTTAAAGTGTCTTTATATCAGGCATGGTGGTACACAATTGTGTACTTGAGAAGGCAGAGACAGGAGGATAGCCACAAGTTTGAGTCAGCCTTGTCTACATCCTAAGCTTCAGTCAAGTAGACTATATAGGAAGTCATGGTCTGAAAGGGAGGTAGGGAAGGAGAGTTGGCGTAGTGAGTAAGGAAGAGCATTAACTGCTCCTGTCCCGTGCACCATGGCAGCTGCGTCACAGCCACCTGGAATTCCAGGTGAGAGGATCTGATGCACATACATACAAAGTCAAAATAAATCGTTTCTTAAAAAATTAAAGCTGCCTGTCTCTAATCCTACAGCTTGGGCAGCTAAAGCTGACGGACCTCAAGTTCAAGGCCAGCTTGAACTCTTGAGCGACACTCTATCTCAACAGAGTTGTTTTGTGTTTTGTGTATTGAATGATTTTAGACAACTTAAGACATTCATGGAGCAAGGGCAGGCTTCATTCTTAGCATTGCTGATTTAAAATATGAAACTACATTTCTCTGAGCTTTAGTCAGGGTTAGCAGATGGAATCCTTCTGTGTCGAGTCCTTAGAAATTCCTTAACAGTAAAGAAGGCCTACAGCTCCTGTTGAGGAAGTAGGTTGGCATCCTTATGGCAGAATGACGATGAAACTGAAGACTGGAGTGACAGGTAGTCACTGAGTCAGATGCTCAGACTGGAAAGCTCCTGTCAGGAGTGTTCGGAGTGATGACTGAATTAAATTTGAGGTCTCCCACTTAGGGAAAGGCCCCTGGTGCTGTCATTGTTTCTTTGCAGTGTTCTCAGTGAACCCCGGAGAGGCCCGTGTGCATGGGACACAGTGTGCTCAGAGCCTTTGTGTTATACAGCAGTTCATGTGAATATAAAAACATATCATCGAGGGGCCTGGGCTTCAGGGGGCTTGGTTTCATCACAGTACTTCTGGGCTCTGATGCAAACAGGAAATGTGGGCTCAGGGAGTGGACTTTATTAAAGCCAGTATACTTCTGTGCAAGCCCAAGGCTGAGTTTGCACTCCTAGTGTCCCTCTAAAAAACCTGGTGTTATGGCGTGTGTCTGCAATCACAGCCCTGGGGAGAAAACAGGAGGATGCCAGGGCCTTGCTGGCCAGGTAGTCTAGCTGAATCCATGAGCTCCAGGTTTATGGGGAGAGAGACCTTGTCTCTAGACAAGGTGGAGAGCAGTAGAGGAAGACACCAGACATGGACTTCTGGCTCCCATATGCATGCACATGTATACCCCACATGTATACATTCATGAATACGTACACTTACATAAAAGGATACCATTAGAGATAAACCACCTTCCACTGCCAAAAGAAGAGCAACGAAAAAGAAACTCTTTTCTGGCTGCTTTGGGTGACTGTGGAAGAGACAAAGTGGTCAACTTTGATTCTGTTAGGGGGAGCAAACAAATGGTTTCAAGTATAAGGTTAGGGGTTATCACTATGTTGAATGTGTAATGCTCCTTAATTTAAAAAGCCTGTTAGCCGCATGTGCCACACACTGGGAATTCCAGCACTTGAGAGTATAAGGCAAAAGTTGATGAGTTCAATACCAGACTATACTACATAATAAGACACCAGCTTACAAACAAGAACATCTCTATTCTTATTCCACCATCACTGGAAGCAAGTATTTTTCGCAGGAATTGTGTATGGAGGTCTTAGTGAGACACTTATCCTTTTACAGAGGGAAGTGGCTTACCTTGGTCCCCTGCTAGGCAACAGATGCACTTGGAATCTGGCCCATGGGCTGATTTTGTTGTCCCAGCAAGAAAGCAGAATGTCACACACTAATTCTCTGCTGTGTCTTGCTATTCCTCATCCTCCTAAGCAACACTCATAGCAACAAGGAGGAAGGGTTTGAGTGAGGCTGTGACTCAATTGTAGAACATGTGTGAGTCCTTGGGTCCAATTCATTACTGTGACAAAGAAAGGAATAAGTTTCTAACTTGTTTGTTTGGAAAGTAGTTATTGAAGTGTTTATTTTAATCAGTAACTTAATTCATTTAGTAGAGGTAAATTCAATTGTGCCATCATTTCCTAAATGTTGTCGTCCTTTCTTCCAGTTGATGCAGCAGTTGTATAAGGAATGTACCCTGGTGCACGCTGACCTCAGCGAGTATAACATGTTGTGGCATGCTGGGAAGGTAAGTGGCACATTTAGTTACTATTCAGGTTACATTTCCTGATGGGAGTTACTGAGTTACACATATCAGTCTGTGCTTTCTGTTTACTAGGTCTGGTTGATTGACGTCAGCCAGTCGGTGGAACCAACCCATCCTCATGGCCTGGAGTTCTTATTCCGGGACTGTAGAAATGTTTCACAGGTAGGCGTGCAAAGCAATATCTTTTAAAGGACCTAACAGGTTCAGATGTTTTCCTCAATCCTAAGAGAGCCATATTTGTAGAAATAAGGAAGGGCTACCAGCTACCTTGCAGATAAGGAGATAAAAGGGACATTTTCAAAATTCTTTCATGGACTCTTGAGTCTGTGACTCATGTGGCCTGTTTCTAAGAGACTATGGTTCTGGTTTGACTCCTGCTGTTTCCGTAGTGAGTTAACCTAATGCATACATAGTGTATAAACCAACAGTGGAAAATGGTGAGTTTGCTGCTTCCTGCCACGTTGCTCTAAGAGGAGGAGGAACAGTGCCTGTCACTCTCACTTCCCATTTCTAAGGGACAGGATTTTCTAGCAGCAGAAATAAGGGAAAGAATAACTTTGTACTGGAGGTAACCTGTGGGCTGCTTAAAAATTATAATTCATGGGATTAAGTGAATGTAGCATCTGTCTGTATGATGCCATGCTGAAGTAATTGAACATAGGCACCATGTTTATAAGTGAAAGAGAGATACCAGGAAACAGAGCAGGTACTAAAGATGGACAGTATCAAATAGAACGTGGGCCCGTTAACCAAATGCCTGCAAAATGGTGAAGGAGTTTACTGGTGCCTTGTCCATGCTGGTCTGTGAGAACTTTGCTGATGTCTCTGACCATTTGCATGCCATTGTCAGTTCTTCCAGAAAGGAGGGGTAAAGGAAGCCCTTAATGAACGGGAGCTGTTCAATGCTGTTTCTGGCCTGAACATCTCAGCAGACAATGAAGCTGATTTCTTAGCTGAGGTGAGTGCTACACAGCTCTTCGCCTTGTTGCTGTTCCTGGGGACATGCCCAGAGCTCAGATTGCACATTGCACTCTCCAAAGGAACACATCTTCCTTCTCTACACACACCAAAACACTTTTTTCAGAGTTGCCAGTTTGCTTAAAATAAGTAATAGAAAACCGGGCATGGCCCATCTTTTTAATCTCAGCACCCAGGAGGCCAGAGACAGGAAGATCTCTGAGTTTTAGGGCAGCATGGTCTACGTAGTGTGTTCCATGGCGGGGGTCTAAAAAGAAAGGATGAACAACAACATATTCCCAGCTTAGTTTTATTTTTTTCAGCCTGAAGAATGTGAGGAGGTTGACTGAGGAGCACTCTGGGTGATGTAAAAATGGAAACTCATGGGACCCACATGCCCTTAGCAGAAGGTAGAAAGCTAGTAGCCACAAACAGATAGTCCTTCATTGTAGTACCGAGCCATGGGAACAAAGAGGCAGAAGGCCAGATTCCTTCAGAGATCTCTTGATACCTTAGGATTGGACAAAAACTAAAATGTAAAAGCAACAGCTAGCTGTGATGGCACACCCTTTAATTCCAAAGACTGGTTTAGCTTTGAGAGCTTGGGGCCAGCCTGATCTACATAGAGCGTTGCAGGCTATCCAGGGCTACATAGAGAGAGGATGTCTTTTAAAAAGACATTTCCCCCAGCGTTTTACCCACAACGCAGAGAGTAGTTAGAGTATTCTGAAATTCTCATGTGAAACTTGAGCTTGGCCAAGCTCTGGGGGAACCTAAGAGCAGGCAGGAAGTGCAGAGAGCTGCAGCTCAGTCAGATGGGGTTGACACTGTGGAGTGGGAGTTTTATGATCACATTCCAGTTCCTGGCTTCATAGAGATACTCAGTGCTGACCTTGGTAATATAATCGAGTGAAAAGCAAACAGGTATATGTGCACATGTCACATGCAAACACAGGGGGTAGGGAGAGGGAGGAGAAGAAAGAAGGAGGAAGAGAAGGAGAGAGAGAGAGAGAGCGATTGAGATTGATTGATTGTAAATCAAGGCCAGCATCATTAGTAATGGTTAGAGAGGAAAATGCCACCTTGGTCAGGTATGTTCATAAAAAGTCAAAACTTGACGAGTGGGTTCCATGATTGGTTCTGTAGATAGAAGCTTTGGAGAAAATGAATGAAGATCATGTTCAGAAGAATGGAAGGAAAGCAGCCTCATTTCTGAAAGATGATGGAAGTCCACCTGTGCTGTATGCGGAATAGTACAGCAGCGACGGCCAGCTGCCATTGCCAACGAATGTGGGTGACCTGACATAGCAAAGCAGGAGTGGACAGTGCCACTTCTGTGCTTCTCACTTGTGACCCACGTGCCAGATGTGTGCAATTTTTAACTCGGCATTGAAAGAATAAAATGTCACTACCTCTCATCTTACAAAAAGGATAATATAATTCTTTAACAGGTACAGATGTGTAGCCAAAGGAGTCTGGATTTTACACAACTCATGATCTGAAATGTCTTGATGAGGATTTTCACATAGGCAGTGTTTCCAAACATGGGAGGTGGGGACTGAAGTGTCTGCAGGGGAGGCTGGATGGCTGCACTGTGCTCCACTCGCCTCCTGCTTTCCCATGCGTCTTTAGGTAGATGTTACTGTTTAAATTAGCCCTTCTCAGCTCTTTGACTGTGAGACCCCAGTGGGTGTTAGGAATGGGCATTTGGCTTCAGTGGACAGTGGAAATAGATGTAAGCAGTGCCTTCTGTGGTACACCATGGATGTGTGGGGTTCTCCATTTCCATCTTATGGCCAGGGAAGATGACATAGGTGTATTTCTTAACTAAGCTTCAAAACTTAACTTTCAGGTTTTCTTCATTTAGGTTAAATGGTTGGGATGTTACTCATCTAGGTTTATAATGAAAATACAAAGTATCTAGAAGGGCAGAATGTAAGAATCGTATCTGATACATTTTAAGAAGGCAGTGAAACATTTCAGTTTGAATTTCCCTAAAATTGTTCATATATTGATTGCTGATCATTTGGAGAGAAATAGAGCAGAGTAACTACACCTGGTATATAGTGGAGACAACGTCCAGACAGCTCACGGAATGGTTTAACCAGCTCACTCAGCTGTCTGGCCACTGCCAGCCTCCACACTGCTGGCGAAGGCAAGCATTGTTCTGAAGACCAGTGGTGGCTTGCTCTCACCTCATTACCCCAGTTCCTGAAGTCACATTGGACCCACTAAACAGCCTAACTTTCTGTCTGGTTATAAAGAGTAAATGTAATTTATATTTGAAAGATTTTAACATTATTTTAAATTGCCAAATATGTTCTTTCTACACTATTTATTTTTGTTTCTGTTATACTGCTTTTAATTGCATTACAGAGGAGTGTGAATTTAGGTGACTCATCCCACTTCTGAGATGTTTGCTACTCCACACAGAGATTTAAATGATGACTAATTATTGGCTGGACAGAAATTCCAGGAAACTCATTTGAAACAATCATTTAAAACTTTGCTTTCTTGACATATTCTTTCTCAAACCATTGCTTGGAGTGTGCTATGAACTTGCCTTTCAAGAAATTAAAAATGAAGAGATCATTTTAGAATTGGTTCATCGTGTGGTTAATTCTTAGTCTTTATTTTATTTTAATATCCTAGCACCAAGACACCCTTTCTTTTTTTATCTTTTCTTTTTTTGTTTTTTAAGACAGGGTTTCTCTGTATAGCCCTGGCTGTCCTGGAACTCACTGTGTAGACCAGGCTGGCCTCGAACTCAGAAATCCGCCTGCCTCTGCCTCACAAGTGCTGGGATTAAAGGCATGCACCACCACTGCCCGGCTCAAGACACCCTTTCTATAGAGCAGTACAGTTTTATTATTATTTTTATTTATTTATTTTTTAATGTTAAAGGCTTTATAAGTTCAGTAATGCTCAGTAACAAGATAACCATACAATCAAAAGTGTAACCCAATACCCAACCTAGATATAGCAACTATCTTTGACTGGGGCGGAGACAGGAGAACATCCTCCTCAATTTCCCCTCCCCCCTTGTCCCCCCTTCTTTCCTCCCCCCCTTTTCTCCTAGCTCTTCCTCCTTTCCTTCCTCTTCCTCTCCTTACTCCTCCCACCATTGCTCCTCCTACATATCACCCTTCCTGTTAAGATAAAACTTTTATCTCAAAATACAATTAGAGCATGACTATACCAATTTGTATCAGTAAGGTACAAGATAGACCTAATACCCAGTCCATCATTTTGTTGACTAACCAGAACCTCTGTCATCTCTCCTAACTAAAAGACTTAGTTCTGAACCTGGCTTTTTTCTTGGCTTTAGAATGAATGTCAGCTGGAAGCCATCCTCTCAAATCTTTTCTCTCAAAGTAAATAGCCGGGATTGGCTGTGAGACTATTGTGAGGAAAAAAAAAATCAAAATACTTCAGCAGAACCCCCCAGACCACCAACAATTTTCTGAAAACAGCCAAAACAAAAAATAACCAGTTCCTCCTAGGGCAAGGTGACCACGAATGTAGGAACAAAACCAAGACAAACCTTGTCAAGTCTAAACATTCCCAAATGAGAAATGGGCCATCTGGTGTTTTATTCTCCTTTATGAGATTTCATGGCCAAAAATACGAGTCATCATGACCACCAGGAAAAGCTTGCTATGCCCGCCAAAATGATAACTTACACCTATTGCTGAAGTTTAAAATATCCAATCAAATGTGACCGCACCAAAGTTTCCTGCTCTCCCCCTTCCCCCTGTGCCGTTCCCTATATAAACTTTAAACTGTCAGAGCTGGGTGTCAAAATCCCTCCCTTGCATGGGATGTGTTTTCGATCCAAGGGCCCTTGTCAGTAAACTACCTTTTGCTATTTTGCATCAAGCTGGTCTCCCTGTTTCCTTGGGTGCGAGCAACTCTGGGTGAGAGTGGGGACTCCCCTTGGGGGCCCCTTACATATGGTTCCCTGACCTGGGAAGTGCGTGCCCACCCAGGACTCCCGAAGACCCCTTGGAGGTAAGTTTGTGTGAATGGAGTGTGTCTGAGTATAGCGCTGCTATCTTTGCTGTTTCTGTTTGTTTCTGTGTTTTGTTTTGGTTTCAGTTTTTAGGCAGCAGTCTTTTCTGCTTCTGTATTTTGGGCAGCTTTTGCTGCTTCTGTATTTTGCAGCTGCCACTATAGACCGTAAGGTCTTAGTTGGCCGTGGGGGTGGGGGGCAGACGTGCCTGGAACCCTACAAGCTGTGACCCTGGAAGACTTTCCAAGGGTGGAAGGGAGTCTGGGAAGCCAGACTGCCCTGTTTCTGAACGAAGGAGACAGAGTGCTCCTTCTCTGGGGGAAGACGTGGAATCCTTCCCCATCTGAAGTTGCATTCGGTTGGTTTTATAAAACCAGACACGGACTAGTGTGCCTGACTGTGTTAGTTTTGTGTGTTTGTATTTGTGTTGTTACTCTGTTAAGTTTTGAGAATTCTGAGATGGGACAGACCGTGATGACTCCATTATCTTTGACTCTTGACCATTGGACAGACGTTACGGGTAGAGGACAGGATTTGTCAGTGATCATTAAGAAGGGACGCTGGCAGACATTCTGCTCTGCAGAGTGGCCCACTTTTGATGTAGGATGGCCTCAGGAAGGAACATTTAACTTGACAACTATCCAAGCTGTTAAGGCGATTGTGTTTCAGGAGGGACCTGGATCTCATCCAGACCAGCAGCCCTATATCACAGTGTGGGAGGACTTGTTTCATTATCCGCTCCCATGGATGAAACCGTGGGTTGCTCATCGCCCAAGTTCTGGGTTTTATCTGTCAGAGGAAAAGCGGTGGAGAAGAAAGAGAAACCACAGGCGGACAAAGAGGCCAGCGCTCCCCCGAAACCCTCACTCCCTCCTAAAGTATACCCTGAAATAGAGGAGCCCCTGAGTGGCCACTCCCCCCTGCTGACTGGCTGGATCCCATACCCCCTCCTTACTCTCCTCAACCCCAGCCTATGCCTGCACCCTCTGCACCCCCAGCTCCTGCCCCGGTGGAGATAGCTTCAAGTGGGCCCTCAGCAGGGACAAGGAGGAGGAGGGGGCCTATTTCAGTCTCAGAGGGTCCTGACTCCACAGTGGCCCTGCCCCTCAGAGCCACCGGACCTCCCTCGACCGGCCCTAATCAGTTACAGTTGTTACAGTACTGGCCTTTTTCTTCTTCTGATATTTACAATTGGAAAAGTAACCATCCTAGTTTTTCAGATAACCCTACACCTCTGACAGGGCTGATGGAATCCCTGATGTTTACGCATCAGCCCACCTGCGATGATTGTAATCTGCTCTTAGGAGAGCTCTTTACAACTGAAAAGAGGGAGAGGATTCTTATGGAAGCCCGGAAAAATATCCAGAACGCGGCTGGCCAGCTTTTGTAGAACCTAACTCCAGCAGAGATTGATGAAGCCATCCCCCCCACTCGACCTCAGTGGGACCATAACACGGCTGCAGGTAGAGAAAGGCTGACCATCTACTGCCGGGTTCTAGTGGCATGTCTCAGAGGGGCAGCGAGACACCCCAACAATTTGGCTAAGGTAAGAGAGGTTGAATAAGGACCAACAGAGGCCCCTGCTGTCTTTTTAGAACATCTCATGGAAGCATATCGTAGATACACTCCTTTTGATCCTATGACAGAGGGGCAGAGAGGTAACATCATAATGGCTTTTGTTGGGCAGTCTGCCCCAGATATTAGAAAGAAGCTGCAGCATTTGGACAGAATACATGATATGACAGAGATGTGGTTAAAGAGGCAGAGAAAGTTTATCATAAGATAGAGACGGAGGAAGAAAGAGAGAGGGAGAAGAAAGAAAGGAGAGAAGACGAGGATAGAAGGGAACAGAGACAGGAAAGGAATCTGACACGAATACTGGCTGCAGTTGTAGGAAAAGAGAAAAAGACTAAAGTTAGACAGTTAGGGGACCTGGGAGACAGATCAAAGCTGGGCCCAAGGAGACCCATGAAAATAGATCGAACTACACTAGAAAGAGACCAATGTGCCTATTGCAAGGGAAAAGGCCACTGGGCTCGAGAATGCCCTAAGAAAATCAAGACGAGACTACTGTCCTTGGGACAGGGCTCAGTCCCCCTCCCCGAGCCTAGGGTAACTTTGAAAGTGGAGGGGACCCCCATGACTTTTCTAGTTGATACCAGAGCAGAATATTCAGTATTAAAAAGACCTTTGGGAAAAATAAAAGACAAACTCTGGTAATTGGAGACACTGGACAAAAACAGTATCCCTGGACCACCTGGAAGATGGACCTTGGCAAGAACCAAGTGTCTCACTCATTCTTAGTAATTCCTGAGTGCCCTACACCCCTGCTGGGCAGAGACTTGCTAACAAAATTAAAAGCTCAAATCACCTTTACCCCCTCAGGTACAGAATTGACCTGGGGGTGGGGGGGAGAGAAACCTCAAACCTTAATAATGTCCCTGCATCTAGGAGAAGAGTACCGGCTATTCCAAAAAACAGTAACGCCCCCTAGAGGGCTACAGGACTGGTTGGATCGATTTCCCCAATCTTGGGCTGAGACAGGAGGGATAGGGATGGCAAAGCAAGCGCCCCCCCCCATAGTCATAGAACTCAAATCTGGAGCTACACCTATTGGGGTTCCACAGTACCCCATGAACAAAGAGGCAAGAGAAGGCATAAGGCCACACATTGAAAGACTGATACAGCAGGGAATTCTAGTCCCCTGCAGGTCCCCATGGGACACTCCGCTCCTACCAGTAAAGAAACCAGGGACTAATGATTATTGCCCCATCCAAGACCTCAGAGAAGTTAATAAAAGAGTACAAGATATCCACCCTACAGTGCCAAATCCCTATAATTTGCTCAGTACACTACTACCTGAACGGACTTGGTATACTGTTCTAGATTTAAAAGAAGCTTTTTTCTGCCTGAGATTACATCCTGTTAGCCAGCCTTTGTTTGCTTTCGAATGGTGGGACCTGGAGAGCAGGAGAATTGGACAGCTCATGTGGACAAGACTGCCTCAGGGGTTCAAAAACTCTCCCACCCTGTTTGATGAGGCATTACATGGAGACCTTACCGCTTTTCGCTCTAAGAATCCCCAGGTGACACTCTTACAATATGTAGATGACCTCTTATTGGCTGCAGAAACCTACGAAGAATGTGAACAAGTAACCCAGAAGATCCTGGCTGAGCTAGGTGAGTTGGGGTATCAGGCTTCTGCCAAGAAAGCACAATTGTGCCAGACAGAAGTGACTTATTTGGGATACGTCTTGAGAAATGGGCAGAGATGGCTGACTGATGCCAGAAAGCAGACCATGATGCAGATCCTGACCCCAACCACCCCCAGCCAGGTAAGAGAATTCCTGGGGACAACAGGGTTCTGTAGACTGTGGATACTGGGGTTCACCACCTTGGCAGCCCTGTTTTACCCTCTCACTAAAGAAAAAGGAGAGTTTAACTGGACTAAAGACATCAGAAGGCCTTTGACAGCCTGAAAAGGGCTTTATTACAAGCGCCTGCCCTAGCATTGCCTGATTTGACTAAGCCATTTACTTTATACATTGATGAGCGGAAGGGGATTGCTAGAGGAGTTCTGACTCAGACTCTGGGGCCATGGAAACGCCCAGTGGCATACCTATCTAAAAAGTTAGACCCAGTGGCCAGTGGATGGCCCTCTTGCCTGCAAGCAATAGCAGCAATGGCTGTGCTGGTGAAAGATGCTGATAAGTTGACTATGGGCCAAAATGTGACTGTAGTGGCCCCCCATGCCTTAGAAAGCATTATTAGACAACCACCAGACCGCTGGATGACCAATGCCCAGGTGATACACTATCAGAGCTTGTTGTTGACTGAGCGGGTAACTTTTGCCCCACCCGCTATCCTTAACCCTGCTACTTTGCTGCCTGATACTGATGAAACCCCAGTTCACCGGTGTGAAAAGATACTGGCTGGAGAGGTGGGAATCCAACCCGACCTGACTGACCAACCATGGCCGGGTGCACCGACATGGTTCACTGATGGAAGCAGCTTCATGGTAGAAGGTAAGCGTCGGGCCGGGACAGCGGTGGTAGATGGAAAGACTGTTATATGGGCTAGCAGTTTGCCGGAAGAGACATTGGCCCAGAAGGCAGAACTTATCGCCCTAGTACAAGCTCTAAGACTGTTAGAAGGAAAAATTATTAACATTTTCACTGATAGCCGGTACGCTTTTGCCACAGCCCATGTGCATAGGGCAATTTATAACAGCGTGGACTGGTGACATCTGCTGGTAAAGAAATTAAAAACAAAGAAGAGATTCTCAGCTTATTAGAAGCTATTCATTTGCCCCGCAAAGTGGCTATCATACACTGTTTGGGACATCAAAAAGAGACTGGCCCAATAGAAAAAGGAAACCAACTGGCAGATCACATGGCAAAAGAAGCGGCACAGGGACCGATGATCCTATTAGGTAGAGAAAGACATAGACCTTGGCAAAATATTAAGAGGACAGGAGGTGTCCTCTCTGGGAAAGAGGCATGGACTTACTTGACTGGCATACATCAGTTTACCCACTTAGGACCAAAAAAAGATGATAAAGCTGGCCAACAAATCTCCCTATCATATGCCACGGCTACGGCAAATGGCTACAGACATCGTAAAAAGTTGTAAATCTTGTGCTTTCACCAATGCTGGCTTCAGCCGAGGCCTAGAAGGAAAACGGCTGAGAGGAGACCGACCTGGGACATATTGGGAGGTGGACTTCACTGAGGTTAAGCCTGCCCGATATGGGAATAAATATCTGGTAGTTTTTATAGACACCTTTTCAGGATGGGTTGAGGCGTTCCCTACCAAGAAAGAAACAGCCAATGTGGTGGCTAAGAAGATACTGGAAGAAATTCTACCCAGGTTTGGAGTACCAATGGTAATTGGGTCAGACAATGGGCCAGCTTTTGTCTCACAGGTAAGTCGAGGGCTGGCCAGACAACTGGGGTTCGATTGGAAATTGCATTGTTCGTATAGACCTCAGAGCTCAGGACAGGTAGAAAGAATGAATAGAACCATAAAAGAGACCTTAGCAAAATTGACCTTAGAGACCGGCAGGGGTGATTGGACAGCTTTTCTCCCCCTTGCACTGTTCCAGGTACGGAACACCCCAGGACCTTTGGGATTGACCCCCTTCGAAATCATGTTTGGCCACCTCCTCCAATATATGAGACATTAGAAAGCGGTGCTCTGATGACGGTTCTATCCCACCATCTTCTCTCCTAGCCCATCTCAGAGCTCTAGAAACAGTCAAGAAAGAAATCTGGGAACAACTGAAAGACACCTATGTCCCTGGAGACACGGCTGTTCCCCACAAGTTTGAAATTGGAGATGCAGTGTTGATACGGAGACACCGTACAGGGAACCTCGAGCCACGGTGGAAAGGACCTTACCTGGTACTGTTGACAACCCCAACCGCCTTAAGGTAGACGGGATTCCCCCTTGGGTCCATGCCTCACACATCAAAAGAGCTCCCCCTGAAGTTAACCAAGATGAGTGGATTCTGGAAAAGACTGATAATCCCCTTAAGCTGCGCCTTCGCAATAGGCATTTCTCTGGTGATGGGAAATAATCCCCACGCTCCCCAACAACTCACCTGGCAACTTATAGATACAAGAACTGGAACTGTCATAACCAGTGCACAGCGAATTGCTCCCCCCGGCACTTGGTGGCCAATCTTATACTTTTGTTTCCGACAGATCAACCGTGTAGTTGCAAGTACTCTCCCTAACATGGTATACAGGTATGGGTTTTATAGCTGTCCTGAGTTTGATAGAGGCAAGTATTGTGATGGCCCCCAATAGTTCTTTTGTGGAGCTTGGAGTTGTGTTACCTCGAATGATGGAGATTGGCAGTGGAGAACACCATCCAACCGAGACAGAGTGACTTTTTCTTTTGCAAATCCAGGACCAAACAGGTTTGCCCCAGATATGGAACTATATAAAGGGAAGCCATGCTCCTGAAGTGTTGTAGATGTCATAAAGATAGAATTTACTGAAAAGGATAAGACAACTAGCTTTTCTAAGTGGCATAATGGTATGAGATGGGGCCTAGTCTTTTACAAACATGGAGGAGGGGTAGGATCTGTCCTCCTCATTCGCCTAAAAATAGAAAGCCTCCCTGCCCTACCGATAGGTCCCAACCAAGTGTTACCTAAACAGAGATCACCTCCACGTGGTGTACTGGTAACTCCCATACCACCCACAGAAGGTTTTTCCCTCGCCAGCTCCCCTTTCACCACCACAGTTATTCCAGACACTGAACAAAGGCTGTTAAGTTTAATTCAAGGGGCTTTCACTATAATAAACAGCTCACGACCTGAGATGACTAAGTCATGCTGGCTCTGCCTCTCCTCAGGGCCCCCCTATTATGAAGGCCTCGCTACAACAGGGACTTTTAACACTACCACCAACCATGAGGCATGCACGTGAAACAGTGAAAATAGACTCACTCTCCCTGAAGTTTCAGGACAAGGACTTTGTTTGGGAACCCCCCTACTGCTTATAAACATTTATGTAATAAGATCCTTAAGAGTCCAAAGACTGCTGAAAATAAGTATTTAGTACCAGAAATAGATAAGTGGTGGGCTTGTGGGTCTGGACTATCCCCGTGTATTTCCACTGCTGTATTTGATGAAACCAAAGATTACTGTGTGCTTGTTCAACTAGTCCCTCGGGTCTACTACCACCCTGCAGACACTTTTGACCACGAACCTAGATCCTCTAGACGCTTTCGTAGAGAGCCCATTTCCTTAACTCTAGCTGTCATATTAGGACTTGGAGTGGCTGCAGGAGTAGGAACGGGGACTGCTGCACTGATTCAGACCCCACACTATTTTCATGAATTAAGGGCCGCCATGGATGTAGATTTAAGAGCCCTGAAACAGTCAGTGTCCAAACTAGAAGAATCATTAACCTCCCTTGCTGAAGTTGTATTGCAGAATAGAAGAGGGTTAGACTTGCTGCTACTTAGAGAGGGAGGATTGTGCACTGCCTTGAAAGAAGAATGCTGTTTTTATGTAGACCATTCAGGAGCAATTAGAGACTCTATGAACAAACTTAGAGAAAGACTAGATCAGAGACAAAAAGACAGAGAAATACAGCAGAGTTGGTTTGAAGGCTGGTTTAATAGATCCCCTTGGCTGACCACATTGATATCCTCCCTTGCAGGTCCTCTTGTAATTCTACTCTTGCTGTTGACTGTGGGACCATGTATCTTTAATAAGATAGTTGCTTTTATAAAAGACAGGGTCAATGCTGTCCAGATATTGACATTAAGACGGACATATGAGATCTTAGGAAAAGAACCTGAAGATACTGCCCTGTGGTTTTAAGATTAAAATCAATTTTAATAAGAGAAGTAGGGAATGTGAGGAAAAAAAAAACAAAATACCTCAGCAGAACCCCCCAGACCACCAAGAATTTGCTGAAAACAGCCAAAACAAAAAATAACCAGTTCCTCCTAGGGCAAGGTGACCACGAATGTAGGAACAAAACCAAGACAAACCTTGTCAAGTCTAAACATGCCCAAATGAGAAATGGGCCATCTGGTGTTTTTATTCTCCTATCAGAAAGTCTGAGATTTCATGGCCAAAAATACAAAAAAATACGAGTCATCATGACCACCAGGAAAAGCTTGCTATGCCCGCCAAAATGATAACTTACACCTATTGCTGATGTTTAAAATATCCAATCAAATGTGACCGCACCAAAGTTTCCTGCTCTCCCCCTTCCCCCTGTGCCGTTCCCTATATAAACTTTAAACTGTCAGAGCTGGGTGTCAAAATCCCTCCCTTGCATGGGATGTGTTTTCGATCTAAGGGCCCTTGTCAGTAAACTACCTATTGCTATTTTGCATCAAGCCAGTCTCCGTGTTTCCTTGGGTGCGAGCAACTCTGGGTGAGAGTGGGGACTCCCCTTGGGGGCCCCTTACAACTATAAGTCTTCAACCCCGTCAGAAATTCAGAATGACTGAATTAACTGAAATGATGGGAAGCACAAAGCATAGGTTTTAAAACTTAGCCAGTTTATAGAGACCGCTGAACACCTGGACAGTCCCTATACTACACAACGTTGGAGCATCTGATCTTCAGCCTTCTGGCCCAGGATCATCTGACAGACCTAGTGATGCAGAATTATTAAGGGCTGATTACTCTGTCTTGTCAGATATAATCAGTCGACTATTCGGCAAGTGTGTCCTTTTCAGGACAGTAATTTGTCTGAAGATGAAAAGAGGCAGTTCTTGCCTAGTGACTGTCTCACCACAACAGGAGTAATTCCAAAGATGCTCAATTTCTTCTAAGAATCCAAGACAGGAAGCTGTCAGAAGCAGACAGGTCTCTAATCAAAATGAACATTAATACAGAAATGTTTACATTTCTGTATTATAATAATACAGAATATATATATATACACACACACACACACACACACACACATACACACAGAATATATATAATAATACAGAAACGTCAGTTCTGTGGACTTCTGACATTTTGAAAACCAACTATCCATGTAAGGCAATCTGGACTGCTGTATGTTAACTCCTCTCAGCTATTTCTAAATAAAATATAGAAAACACCCTAACAATAAACTGAGAGCCATGAATTTGCTATAGGCCCTTAACTAACAGGTTAACCATCTCAATTTTAAAAAGTTAAAGAAGGACTGGGTCTAAGCCTTGCATTCCTAAATGTGTTATATAGGCACAATGCCTAGGAGAGTAACAATATTAATCTCACTTTTATATCAATAAGAAACTTATACCAATGAAAACTTTAAATTTGAAATCAAAGTAAATTTTGTACCATTTAAGAAATTATAACTTTAGCTTAATAACAATTATACAAATTTCTACCAATAGGCTATGGCTATGCAGTAAATCCTAGCTATTCCTCCCTGCTCCAACAAAACCACTACTTTTCCCTAGAAAGACAGCCCAGTATTGACCACCTCAGTCCCCAAGCCCAAGGAATAGGGGCGCCGACTCTTCATTAACTTCTTCAAGCTGATTACTGGCATTGAGATATTAGAAGAGGGGTGGGGGGAAGAGTAAATTGATAAGCCTCTGACATCTGTGTCTTCACTGCATTCAGCTAAGATTCCAGGACTTCAGAGGTTCGAGCAGATCTGCTCAGCTTGCTTGATGAGTAGATACACCAAGGCTGTGTATTCTGTAATATACAATTCTCAAAACAAATTTTAGTATCGAGATATTTTTTGTTTGAATTCTGGAATCTAGTCTTCTGGTGGCCTGTCTCTATCATATCTAATCCATATAATTGTGGGAGTTTCTATGAGGGTGTGCTCCCACCATCCTCTAGTTCTCCCTTCCCTGCTCTCAAATTCCCCAACACTAGAGAATCCAAACTATTGGGTACCAAGGCCCTCCACTTCCACTGATGCCTGACAAGGCCACCACCCTCAGCTACCTATACAGGTGGAGCCATGAGTCCCTCCCTTTGTGTTCTCAGGCTGGAGGTTTTAGAATGGCTACTCCAGCTTGTTTCTTAGGACTATTTGCTTGAAAAATTGTTTTCCAGCCTTTTACTCTAAGGTAGTGTCTGTCTTTGTCACTGAGGTGGGTTTCCTGTATGCAGCAAAATGCTGGGTCCTGTTTATGTACCTAGTCCGTTAGCCTATGTCTTTTTATTGGGGAATTGAGTCCATTGATTTTAAGAGATATTAAGGAACAGTGATTGTTGCTTCCTGTTATTTTTGTTATTAGAGGTGGAATTATCTTTGTGTGGCTATCTTCTTTTGGATTTGTTGGAGGAGGATTACTTTCTTGCTCTGTCTAGGGTATAATTTCCCTCCTTGTATTGGAGGTTTCCCGCTAATATCCTTTGTAATGCTGGGTTTGTGGAAAGATATTGTGTAAATTTGATTTTGTCATGGAATATCTTGGTTTCTCCTTCTATGATAATTGAGTTTTGCTGGGTATAGTAGCCTGGGCTGGCATTTGTGTTCTCTTAAGGTCTGTATGATGTCAGTCCAGGATCTTCTGGCTTTTATAGTTTCTGGTAAGAAGTCTGGTGTAATTCTTATATAGGTCTGCCTTTATATGTTACTTGGCCTTTTTCTCTTACTGCTTTTAATATTCTTTCTTTGTTTTGTGCATTTGGTGTTTTGATTATTATGTGACAGAAGGTATTTCTTTTCTGGTCTAGTCTATTTAGCGTTCTGTAGGCTTCTTTTTTTGTTTGTTTGTTTTGTTTTGTCTTGTTTTTTCGAGACAAGGTTTCTCCGTGTAGCCCTGGCTGTCCTGGAACTCACTCTGTAGACCAGGCTGGCCTCGAACTCAGAAATCCGCCTGCCTCTGCCTCCCAAGTGCTGGGATTAAAGGCGTGCACCACCACCGCCTGGCCGTTCGTCAGCTTCTTATATGTTTATGGGCTTCTCGTTCTTTAGGTTAGGCAAGTTTTCTTCTATAATTTTGTTGAAGATATTTATTGGCCCTTTAAGTTGGGAATTTTCACTCTCATCTATACCTATTATCCTTAGGTTTGGTCTTCTCATTGTGTCCTGGATTTCCTGGACGTTTTGTGTTAAGAACTTTTTACATTTTGTGTTTTCTTTGACAGTTGTGTCAATATTTTCTATGGTATCTTCTGCACCTGAGATTCTCTCTTCTATCTCTTGTATTCTGTTGGTGATGCTTGCATCTATGACTCCTGATTTTCTTCCTAGGTTTTCTATCTCCAGGGTAGTCTCCCTTTGTGATTTCTTTATTGTTTCTACTTCCATTTTTATGTCCTGGGTGGATTTGTTCAATTTCTTCACCTGTTGGGTTGTG